CTCAAAAAATGAAAGTTAACATCATCCATAATGAAACAAATCAAAATCATGTAGGCCCTGGCTGGTGTGGCTCCGTGGATTGAGCACTGGCCTATGAACCAAAGGGTCACCGGTTCCATTCCCAGTCAGGGCACATGCCTGGGTTGCAAGCCAGGTCCCTAGTGGGGGCCACGTGAGAGGCAACCACACATGATATTTCTCTTCCCCTCTTTCTCCTTCCCTTCCCCACTCTCTAAAAATAAATAAATAAATAAATAAATAAGAAATAAAATCTTTTAAAAAATCATGTGGCATCTGATAGGGTACAATAAGAATGCAGTGTTGCTTCTATGATCTTCCTGTTGAAGAGGCAGCCTGAATCTAATCATGAGAAAATACCACAGAAAAACAAATTGAGGGACATTCTACAAATTAACTGGACTGTTATGTTCGAAAGTGTTAAGGTCATGAAAATTAAAGACTGAGGAACTGTTCTAGGAACAGTCTAGGAGTGAAGGAGACTTAAGTGACATAGCTAAATACAAGTGTGATTCTTAACTGGATTCTTTTGCTATAAAAATTTTTATTGGGATGATGGATGACATTTGGGTGGGGCTAAAGATTAAAAGGTAGTGGTGTATCAATGTTAATTTCCTAATTTTGTTGGTTATAATGTGGATATGTAGGAGAATGTTCTTGTTTATAGAAAATATAAATTTAAAGTATTCCAGTGTGAAAGTTCTCTGTACTATAGTTAGAATTTTCTATTAGCTTGTGACTATTTTAAAAAGAATTTTTGTTATTTAAAAAATATACAACTATGGGGGGGGGCTGGGAAGGGGTAAAAGGCAGAAAACTGTACTTGAACAACAATTAATATTTTTAAAAATTATATATATATATATATATATACACACACACACACACACAACTAAAATCCCCGGCACCTAGAACAGGCATGACATTCCAAGTACTCAGTAAATATTTGTTGAATGAGTTAATGACTTACTAACACCTGCTTAGAAATAAAGACATCCAAATATTAACAGTGGTTTTTATGGAGAAGTGGATTTAACACAGGCAAATTGGGTACTTTTTTTATTTTGTGCTTTCCTGTTTCTTAAGCTTTCTGCATCGATCATGTATTAACTGTTCTACTCAGTGAGCTGCTAACTAGCTAAAAATATTATTTTAGAAGTACCATAAGTCTTATCCCTGAGTTTGTGGGTTCCAACAACTGATATTATCAGTTACTTGGACCAGATCTTTAAAATCTGCTTTAGTCTACCCAATTACATAGAATACCAATACTATATAGGTTCATTATTACTAGGATATAGAACTTCCTGCCCACTGCCCAGGTTTCCCTCCATCAGCAGTAGCGAATGTATGATCATACAAAGAGGGTTGGAGAGCTTCGTGGGATATTTAATTCACATTAGTGAAGGAACTGGAGAATGATTCTGGATCCAGATTTCCAGTGAATAAAGCATTCACATCCTTTGGATACTACCAAAAACACTGACAAATTCTAATTAAAAAGACCCTTTTCCTGGACTCTGGGTGACCTGTTATCACATAATGGACATATTAATTTCATTATGTTTCTGTGGTATTGATTGTATTTTGGATTAGCCTCTCCATAATAGGATTTGACCGGCATGCTAGTTCACAGCAACACATTTACAAAGTCACTTCTTAAAATGGACAACATTTGCAGTTGGTTGCTGTCCACAGTATGTTGATTTGTTTTAACATTTAAATTTTGTTTCAGTAGGTAATATACTCATATAGTCAAAATTCAAAAGGTACAATGAAGTATATGGTACAGGGAAGTGAAAAGCTCCCTCATCCCTGTCTCCTGCCCACCCAGGTTGCCTCCCTAAAAATAACCAATATTATCAGCTTTCCTTGTATCAGGAAGCTATACATATGCATGCACATGCCTGCGTGTGCATGGGTGTGCACACACACCTCGCACATTGTCACCCTATATAATATTTTATATACTGTTCTTCACTTTGCTTTTTTCACCAAGAATCTACCTGGGAGGTAATTTTAATGTTTTAAGAATTGATTTGGAAAGAGAGAGAGAGAAACACGGATATGTTGTTCCACTTATTTATGCATTCATAATAAGTATGGTTGATCCTGTATGTACCCTAACTGGGGATCCAACCCGCAACCTTGGCATATGGGGATGATGCTCTAACCAACTGAGCAACCCGGCTAGGGCCTTGGAGGTAATTTTGTAATATATCCGTATATAAAAGCTTCCTCATTCTTTCCTTTTTTTTTTTTAGTAGATGGTATTCCACTGAATGAATGCACCATCATTTTTTAAACTAGCCTCCTACTAAAAAATATTAAGATGGCTTCCAAACTTTTACTATTATACAATGCTTCATATACCTGTCATGTTATGCATAAGCAAATATAGTTTTAGGATGATTTCCTAGCAGTGTAATTGGTAGGTAAAATGTATGTGCATTTTTCATGAATATTAATATATTGCCAAATTGTCTCCTGCAGAGAGTATATGAAAGCCCGAGTGTTAACAAGATTCTGGAGTTGGCCTATCTGGTTATGAAAAAAGACGAGTCAGAACTTTAAACTGCATTTTCCTCATCTGAGTCGGGCTGAGCATCCTTTCATGTTTACTTCCTTTTCTGTATAGTTGGTACAGCTCCTGCTCATGTTTCTATTCAGTTATTTGTAGGAATACTTTATATACAGGAAAATTAGCCCTTTTCAGTGAAATGACTTGTATAAATTTTATACCAAATTGGAGTATGTCTCTTGACTTTCATCGTGATAGTTTTTGCCTTGAGAACGCAAACTGTCATACCAGCCTGCCTGGGTTTGAATCCTGGCTCTGCCACTCACATCCTGACCTGACCTTTCCATGGCTCAGTTCATCAGTGAAGTGGTGATAGTAATAGTGCCTACCTCACAAGGTTGTTGTAATTAGAAGAAGGAATACATGGAAAAGGCTTAGAAAATATGTGGCGCATGACCAGGACTAGAAAAGTATTGTTTATATTTTTGTTTAGTCAAATTTAATGTTGATTCATTTTAGGTGTCATTTCAAAGAAAAATTTTTACTTGCCTTGGCTTCCAATTCTGGAAATAAAACTATTTTTAAAAAAGAATTATTTTAACTCTGGCTGGTAACACGCACCATTTAGATGCCAAGCCATCCTCAAAACAGAAGGCACTGAGGTTTCCCAGTCATCACACATACTCCTCACAACTTATTATCCTCATTTTACCTAGGAGGAAACAGGTTCAGGAATGCCAGATGATTTGCCCACGGCTCAATTTCCTCTGTGCATTGATTTGCAAATGTTCTTTAATCCTTTTCCCAGTGTGCTCCGTTGCAGGTCCCCGAGGCATATCTGGTGCCTACCGCATAGTTCCTTCAATAGAACTCCTGGCTGGCTATTTGCCATGCATTCACTCAGCAAGCCCACAGTCAACTCAGCTTTTGGCTTCCTCCAGTGACTCCAGCTCTTTAGAATCCAGTTTGACTCCGCCCACAGAGTTCAAATTTGGCAGGAATGTCTCCCATCTACCCCTCCCTTCCATCCCAGCTGCCACCACTGTGGTTCTGCTCTGACTACCTTTCACAGGGACTGTTGCTGCAATAAGCTCCTAATGAGTGTCTTAGCTGACTTCCACAATCTTTCCTCTACAATCTTGTCTCCAGTGCTGCCCAGGTGATTTCCCCAACTCTCAAACCTTCACAGGCTGCCTTGGGCTGTCCCTTTCCCTGATATTTGATTTGACCCAACATAACCTTGCTGGTTTTGCTTCCAAGCCTCCCCTCCCAAACAGCTAAAAGGAATGCCTCACAGTTCCTTGAACAGGCTTTCTCATTCCAGTCAGGTTATTTGTTCAGCCTAAGATTTCTCTCTATGCCTTCTTTCCCACCACTCAAGCTTCATAAAGTTGTCCTTTATTCTGAACATACTTCTGTCATTCTTCTCCCCACCCCACACCCTTCATTTGTTTGTAAATTCCTTGAGAGAGGAAATCCCACCTTCTTTGTTGTTGATCAAAATAATTTCACACCAAGTATAGATGATAAACCCTATAACCTAATTTCCAATGGGTTAACCCGAATGGGTAGCCATTCGGGTTAACAGGGCACGTGGTGCACCAGGCCCGTTTGCGGCCTATTTGAACCCAGCTTTCTTCACAAAACTGTCACCTTTGGTCAAGTGCCCATCACAAGCTTCCAATTTTCCTTTTAGAGGATCTGATGGCTGTCGGCAGATACCCGCAACAGGCACGGCACAGAGAATATTCTGAAAATATTGGTTGTATGAACAGACTTTGTACTGGAAAGAACATCAGAACCTTAGGTCCACTTCCTTGTTTCAGTGTAAGAAATCAAGGCACAGACAGGGAAGAGACTCACCCTAGGTCACACAGCAAGTAGGAAACAACTAGACCTAGAAAAGAGGTATCCTGACTGCAGTTCCGAGCGAGCTCCGCTGCACTTTGGAACCACACAGACCTAGGGTTAGCAGCCTCAGCTACCTGAGGTCTCTGCAGAAAACATCACCTGTTCACCCGTTCCCTTGTCTCTCTCATTTACAGCCTCCTTCGCCCTTCCCACAACAAAATCTTTCCTCTTCCCTAAGTCTCCGTTTTGAAGCTAGTAGCCCAGAGCGGCGAGAAAACGTCTACACACTGATCAATAGGCTGCGAACAGAGAAGGTAGCCTATGTCAGGTAGGATACCTTCAGCTCCGGAGAAGGAAGCGCGGAAACGTCAGGGTTTCGAACGCAACCTCCAGCCCCGCCCCGGCCCCGCCCCCTGAGGCCCTTGCACCCGCCCCCAAATGCGCCCAGCCCAAACACGCCTGCGGACAAGCGGCCCCTTCGCCAGAGTTGGGCGGAGCCAAACCCTCCAATCCCCGCCCTCTCCGTGGGATTCACCCCCTTGGCGTGGACAGTCAGAAGCCAAGTCCAATGAGAAGGAAGGGGAGGCCGTCAGGGCCCTATCCGCTGCGACAGCACGAAAGCCGACGCAAGTGACTCGCGGACGCTACACCTTGGTCTTTCCGGGTCCTTCCAAGCTTCGCCACTACTCCTGCTGTTCCTGGGCCGGAGGAAGAGCTGGAAAGGACCCGCTAATCGAGTAAGTTTTTGCTGGCTAGGGCGACTTTTGGCGTCGGTCCAGAGGCTGCCGCTGCTACCCGGACAGAGCTCGGCGCGGGGGGGGACGGGGGGCGTGGGGGGAAGGGGGCGGGGAGGAGCCGAGCACGTGGATCGCCGGCCTGATCTTGGCGTGGGTGGGAAGCTGAACCGGCAAGCTCTGGGTGTGCGCGATTCGTGGGCGCGAGGAGCCCGGTGTGTCCTGCCGGTCGGTTCTGCAGCCGCAAACACGGCGGGAGGGGGACCCTGAGTGTCACCGCTCAGTGTCTGACCCTAAGGAGCGTTTTTCTCAATTATGATGCTGAAGGTGCTGCCCAGCACTTGCCAGTGACTGGACTGTGGGCCCTTGGCGGTTTCCCAGAAAGTTTAGGTTGTGGCTGGCTTTTTCTGACAGATAAGCATAGTAACTAATGCAGGGTGAGCGCTTACGGACTGCTACAAACTGTGTTCATTGGTTTACGATCATCAGCTAAGTTTTGCGCACACTGGTCCTGTGAGGTAGATAGTACCTTTGTCAGACACAGTAAGAGGTCCAGTGAGATTGTCACCTGCCTAAGGTAACGCATTAAGTAATAAGCAGTGGAGCCCCGGGTTAGTGACAAAGCCACCTTTCCCCAGTACTTGCGTGTCCAAGAAGCCTCATGTTTCCCCAGAGTACCTCAGAAACCATGATACCCTCTTCCCCTTGATGGGTGTGGAGTGTTCTATAGATACTGTCTTGTGAATCAAACAGCAAGAAGAAAAAACACGTGACACCTTCCTGGAGAAAACACAGTTCCAAAGCCCCAAACTCTAGTGTTAAATAACGGTGAAAATTATACAGGTGGTGTCCTGTAGGTCACCAAGCCCAGGAGCCAGGCCAGCAGGGCACAGTACTTAGCCCTCTAAGCCAGTTTCCTCATTTGCAGAATTTATAAAACTAGCCACTCAGGGTGGGCACGGAAATCGCCATGTAGAGGCCGTTTTGTATTTGGCTTCACAAACTGGTGGCTTCAGCTTTGCCAGGTTACAGCCCAGTCGTCTGTATCATCTTAACTTTCTTGTTGAATATTTCTCACTTTAAATATTACAGTCCTGCTATAGTAGTTCTTTCTGTTTTTGAGATAATTTGCCTTTTGAAAATGTACAGTTGGATGGGTTTTGTAGTATAGTTGAGATTGTGTGACCATCACGTGATAGCTCTTATTCCAGAACATTTTCTCTTTTTTTAAGATTTTATTTATTTATTTTTAGAGAGGGGAAGGGAGAGAGAAAGAGAGAGAGAATCAATGTGTGGTTGCCTCCCACATGGCCCCCACCGGGGACCCGGCCCACAACCCAGGCATGTGCCCTGACTGGGAATTGAATCTGCGATGCTTTGGTTCGCAGCCTGCGCTCAATCCACTGAGCCACGCCAGCCAGGGCATTCCAGAACATTTTCATTACCCTGAAGAGAAACCCTGTTGCCCCAGTGTGTCCCAGGTGTTGTGGGGCAGTGTTGTCGGGCTCTAGTCCCCAGCCCAGTGTTAGGCAGGATGTTGGGGCCCAGCTGTCCAGGCTGCCCCACCTGAGGGCTTGGGTAGGGCAAGTAGAGTCTCTGGCTTACCTTGAATTTCAGCCTTAAGCAAGTTCTGGACCTACCTGTCAGGGCTAGAGCAAGAGGGTCCGGAGGCATGCAGGTTCCACGGAGGAGGCCGCAGCCCCGACCCCACAGGCCTCGAGGCCCCTAACTTAGAGCCAGGACTGTTTCTGGGCCTGCACCTTTGGGGTTTTCTCATCCATGCTCAGAATGGGGTCTTGGGGCATGAGGAGGGCCAGTTTATCCAGGAAACTGTGAGGTGTGCAAAACAAAAGCATTTTGGAATGTGGGGCCAAATCTTTGCAGCTCCTGAGCAGAAAACTACCAGACTGCAGGCTAAGCCAACTTTTGGGTGAATGAGACTCATGAGTAGGTCTCTGCAAAGACCCCAAATTTGAAGCAGGTCCTGAAAAACTGCTCAGAGGTTTGCCAAACTTCAAGATGATTGACAAGTGGAGGTTGAAAGACCTGCAGCCGGAAGAATTGAACCTTTGAGAGTTCCTTGGAATCATTGTAAAAGTGAAATGGGATGACCTCAAAGCAACATTAATAGTAAGGAGTGGAACACCCAAGCAACTAGCTGAACTAGATAGAAAAGACACATCAGCAAACTGATGGACGTGTTGTTTCATGGGCAGAAACCAGTTAGAGAGAGCTACAGTGGATGCTACCCAAACAACTCTCATCTGGGGGAAACTATTGGCAGTTTTGAAAAGCAGAAAATAAAAGATATAAAGGTTTTATTTTCAGAATTTATCACTATTGAAATGCCGTTCACAGCAAAGCTTTAGAGGTATACTCTGCTGTCTTCCAAAATATACAAAAGACTGATGAGGAAGAAGATTTAGAGGTTTTCAGGAGCTCTAGGTATCTACCAGTGTATACATCTTGTATAGATATTTTAAGAGCAAATTCAAATTGCCTTTTTAGAGATGATTAGCAGCTAAGAATATATTTGGAGCAGGACAGGTGTCCACCTGTCGACTAAGAAACGATGAACAGCTCTGGCTGGTGTGACTCAGTGGATTGAGGGCCAGCCTGCAGACCCAGAGGTTGCCAGTGATTCCCAGTCAGGGCACATGCCTCAGTTTGGGCCAGGTCCCCAGTTGGGAGTGTGCGAGAGACAACCAATTAATGTTTCTCTCACACATCGATGTTTCTCTTCCTTTCTCCCTCCTTTCCCCGCTCTCTCTAAAAATAAACTAAATAAAATAAAAAGAAAGGATCAACAAGCAGAAGGTAAAGAGTTAGACATTAAAGAAGAAGAAAATTAATTTTCCTAAGTACACTCCTCATTTCCCTTTTCATCTTAAAATGACTGAGAATCCAGGATGGATATTACACACCTGGGCATGTCAGCCTCCTGCCTAGTTATATGCGATCTCTTGTGTGAGCTCTTGCTTCACCCTTTGGACTCAGGGTACTTCATGCTAATGCCCTGAGTCTGGCTGGGAGTGTTATTACAGGTGGTAGGTAGGTAACACAAACTACTGGGTTGGCTAAAAAGTCTGCATGGTTTTTTCCGTAAAATAAAAGACAAATTTTTCATTTTCACCATAACCTTATTGATTTGGATATTTTGAGTATGTTCGCTATTTCCCGTTTGGTGTAACATTGATTGTTCTCAATGTCTTCATTTGATCGCTATCAACTTCAACTGGTCTACCTGACCTTGGAGCATCGTCCAGCGAGAAATCTCCAGCATGAAACTTCACAAACTACTTGTGACATATTCCATCAGTCACGGCACCTTCTCCATACACTGCCCAAATCTTTTGTGTGTGTGTTTCAGTTGTATTTTTACCTTTCTTGAAATAATAAAGCATAATATGCTAAAAATGTTTATTTTCTTCCATCTTCAGTGTTAAAATGGCTACACAAAAATTCACCAATTTTGATAAGTTTTTTTGTAATGCAAGCTGATATGACAGCTGTCACAATACAATCTAACAAAATTGTTTTGAATGAAATTAAAGACAAGTAAGCACTACTAGAGCCATCTTATGGAAATAAACCAAAAGAACTTTTTGGCCAACCCAATAAAAGATCTAATTACACTTAGCTTCTTTTAGGATTTTTAAACATTTTTTTAAAAAAGATTTTATTTATTTCCTTATTTATTTATTTGGGAGGGAGAAAGAGAGGGAGAAAAAGAAACCTTGATGTGTGAGAGATACATCAGTCAACCCTGATTGGGGGGACCTGGCCTGCAACCCAGGCATGTATCCTGAGTGGAAATCGAGTCAGCAACCTTTTGGTCCACAGGCTGCACTCAGTCCACTAAGCCACACCAGCCAAGACAGCATCTTTTAGGTTGATTCCAGAAAAAGATCTTATCTAGTCATTCAGATTAAATACAAATTTTACTTCATGAAACTTTAAGTAAATGACAAGTTTTCCCTTTTTAAACTTTTGCTGAAACCAAGTGTCATCAGCTGATTTTTGAAATTACCTTTCAACAGTGTGTAACCAAACAGGATAAAGGAAATATGACAGCAATATATGTTTTACAAATGCATACAACATATAATTTAGTTTAAATAAAAGTCACATTAACCTGCCTATGGTTTTAAAACAAAACTGCTATCATGTTGAAGTATTACATATAGTACTACAGCTTTTAGAAAGCAAGTAATCTGGGGAAATGTTGCCCAAGAAAACATAAATAGGTACACAGGGAATATCATAAATCGTTTAAAGTTCTATAAAAACTTTACCAAGTTATCACCTAGTTAATAAAAAGGTTTAGCCCTTTTCCCTTACTCTTATTCCTGCAAGTATAAAACAATCATCATTTATCAAGTCACTTGGGGTAACTGGAGAGAACAATTCATTCTTCATAGCAGAGAAATGGATTTTCAAGAAGCTTAAAAAGAAAAAAAGGCCTTTGTACAGTTGGTCACTCCTCATTCTCTACCTCCTCTCCCCCACCCCCGCCCCTCCCTGTGAAACACTTCTGTGTGCATGTGTCTGGATGTGCCTCTTCTGGGGATTTCCTGTACATTGTGCTGTACAGTTTTGTGTCCTGCTTGTTTTACTTAGTGTATGTTTTCAAGATCCATCTTTGTTGTATCATGTATCAGTAGTTCATTCTTTTTATGGCCAAATAAAAATGGTTGTGCCACATTTTTTTACGCATTCATCAACTGATGGAAATATGGGCTGTTTCCGCTTTGAGGCAATTATCAGTAATGCTGCTGTGAATTCTGTCAAAATTTTTGTATGGCCATGTGTTTTCATTTCTGCTGGGTTCTTTGGGTCACATGGTAACTCTATGTTGAACCTTTTGAGGAATTGCAAAACTTTCTAAAGGGGTGAGGGCATTTTACATTCCCACCAGCAAATCAAGAAATTCGTTACAAAAAAAAAAAAAAGAACCAAAAACAAAAAAGAAAGGAAGGGAGGGAGTGAGGGAGGAAGGAAGGAAGGAAGGAAGGAATTCGTTACAGAATTTGTGAAATGTTTGGTTGAGTACTATATACTCATTAAATTTTTCTTCCTTTTGTTTGTATCAAAATAACCCCAATGCACAATCATAGGTTGACACAGAAGTGGTTGAGTGAATGCTGAATCCCGGAATGTAGGTCCAGACCTCTGGTGCTCTGTTTGATGCTAACAGGTTCTCTGCCCTCAAAAGTAGAAGTTGGGAAATAAAGGCAAATAGATTTCTAATCAGTTCTTCATGTGCATTCAGCCCCAGAAGTTTTTTTCTAATTTTGTTAACAATGTTAGAATATGGTTTTAAAATGTGGTCCAGCCCTGGCTGGTGTAGCTCAGTGGATTGAGCGTGGGCTGTGAATCAAAGGGTCTCCAGTTCAATTCCCGGTCAGGGCACATGCCCAGGTTGTGGGCCAGGTCCCCAGTGAGGGCCACATGAGAGGCAACCGCACATTGATGTTTCTGTCCCTTTCTCCTTTCTTCCCCTCTCTCTAAAAATAAATAAATAAAATTTTAAAAAATAAATAAAAACACTCTAGAAAGCATATTGAAAAGTCATACACACTGGGTCCCCCGATTAATTATGTTCACAATTTTCCCTGTTCAATACTGAAACTGTAGGAGAAAATGTCCACTATCAATTATTCTCTGCAAACACGGTGTGTGTAGACTGAAAGAAAAATTCTGTGCTTGGTGTTCTCTGGTAAGGAAAAGAAGACAACCTGAGAGAGTTCTCCGGCCAGGCTCACACTGTTGTCTTAAAGTAATGGTGTCACTGGAGTGTCACTGGAGTGTCAATGGTGTCAATGGAGTCTGTCACTACCTCACACAGTGACCCCGGCAACCGAGGGCAGCGGGTTGTCAGGCCAACTGTGAGGTGAGAGAAGTGGCTGCAGACACCCTGGATCCCATCAGTGTCTCCTCCCGGGGGGCAGCCCTTTACAGGTGAGGCTTGGTGTGGCAGCGTCAATGGTCACCCGGGTGGGGTCTAGTTCTGAGCACGAGGGAATAAACCATCAAGAAGCGAGCAGCAGAGAAAAGTGCACGCACACACACTTGTATGTGATTTTCTTTTTTTTTTTTTTCTCATCTAGGAGCAAAAATGCATAAAAGCAGCTGGAAAAGCAGAAGACTGGGAAGAAGGAGCCAGTGGCAGAACCCTAGGTTCCGACAGCACAGTTCGAATGAGAGGCAAGTGCAGTTCCCCAGGGCCGTTCCAGTTCTAGTGTCGCCTGCCCGGCACCCTCACAGGGGCCCCGTCCGCGTGCAGGGTGTGCGGTGGGGCCCGACATGAGTCTGCGTTCCCCACGAGCACCCGGGGGATGTCGCTGCTGTGGGTCAGCCTGCCGGCCACACTCCAAGCAGTGAGGAGATATGGCCATGCTCTTTTTTCAGAGTGACCTGACTTTGGGCCTGAGCCACAGGCTTAGTATTATCTGATGCAGCTGGAGGAGAGCTGTTTCTCCATTGTGTAGACCGACTCTCTCTCTCTTTTTTTGTCTTTGTTTTCCATCTAATTAAAGTAGCTTTCTGGAAGTGTAAAATATCTTTCTTGTACAATACTTCCCTTGTGACGTTTGCGATAACATATATAAAGCCCCTAATGGACTGCCTGTCTCTGAATAGGCCCTCCATCCATGGTGGGCCTCATGAGGTGTGGAATAAAATACTATTCTAAGCCCAAGTCCCGGACTTGACCAGTGCTGTGAAGATCGGGACAGTGCCCAGTGTCTGTATGTTTTGGAAGGAGAACCATGGACACGTTTTGGGTCCCAGGTCTTCCCACAAGAGCACAGCGTGTAGTACAATGTGATCAGCTTTGGCAGAGTTGCGTGGAAACATGGACAGCCACCTTCCGGCTCCACGTGGAAAGAATGGAGCAGCGGTTTTTGAACTGGCAGTCCTTGGACCAGAAACGTAGACATTTGTCATGACACGTAATCCTTCCTCTCTCCTGCTGCCGATCTCGGATGAGCTGCCTCAGGAAGCTCTGGGCCGTAAGAACGGAAAATAAATTTTCCCAGAAACCATGCGTAGCTAGTATTTATAGACAAAAGAGAAAGCTCTTTTATTCCTTCAACCTAGTTTGCAGTTTGTACTCCTTTTAGTGTGGGGATAGAGGGGAAGTTCTTGTTTTAAAAGAGGATTTTATCAGGATTCTAAAATTAGATCTTTTGTTATATATCATTATACCCTTTAGCTTATAATTACTATTAGAGCTGCTTGTAGCTTTGCAAAATGAGTGTTTAAACCATGGCTGTGTCCCAGTCTTACTGAGCAAATCGCCTCTGTGCCCTGAACCCCAGCTTTCCCATCTGTAAGGTACGGTAGCCAAGTACAATTTAAACTCTTGTACTGCTGGATGCAATAAGTAGTGAAATTCACCTGACCTTGTAAATGCTGCTGAGCTGACAAATGAGTCCAGCTGGTAGAATTCTTACTGGCAAAGATTTCTGTTCTCCTTTTCATCCGAAAAATTCCCCAAGACTTCATGAAATGCTCGAGCACAGAGATAACAAAAAGGAATTACTGCGACATGCATCTGCTTAAGGATGAGAAACAAAACCTTGCCCCAGCTTTGGTGTATCTGCAGTAGGTAAACTACTTTAAGAAAAAGCGGGGTCAGTGCTCCCCAATAATCAAAGGTCAGAGGGTCAGGGTGAAGGCTGTGGAACTGCCTGACCTGCCCCCTGCCAGGACCCCACAGTCGCAGAATGACTGGGTCTCAAGCCTTTCACTGCAGGTTACCGTGACCATGTGTCAACAGGTGGGACACCCGGACACAGCAAAGCCCTCCGGATTCCGACCACGATGAGGAGGAGGCCCCCTCGACCTCGTCCAGCACAGCCGGGAGTTCCTCTGTGCCAGGTGAGGCAGTCTGCTGGGTAGGACTCTCTGGCCCCGCCTGCAGGGAAGGACGAAACTCGGTCCTGCCTCGTCAGCTGCTTACATCTGCTCTGGCCACCCTTCCTCCTCAGCCTGGTGTGCCTGCACTCGCATGCGGGTGTACTCCGTGTGTACCACCAGCTCGTTCTGGGCTCAGGAAATCCTGGGAGCAAATGCAGACACTAAAGGGAGGAGCTGGGTACGTCAGGAACTGTGATCTTGAGGCAAACCGCTCCCCCAGGACTGAACTGGGCCAGGATGGTGACTGGCAATGTTAGCTCACCTCCGGCCCCTTAGAAGAGACAGGCAGCTGTGAGGGGTGGGGGACAGGCCACTGGGCTCCTTTCTAGGTGGGTCAGGTCACAGTACTTCAAGTGAGATTTTATTTCTTTTGACTACAGACCTACCAGGGTACTACTTTGACCCTGAAAAGAATCGGTACTTCCGCTTGCTCCCCGGTCACAACAACTGCAACCCCCTCACGAGGGAGAGCATCCAGCAGAAGGAGATGGAGCACAAAAGGCTGCAGCTGCTGGAGGAAGAGGACAAGCAGAAAAAGGTGGGCCCCCCCACTCCCGGGGCTGCCCTGGTCCCTGCAGCCCGCCAGCCTGCATCCACTGCTGAAAGCAGGTGCCTGTTAAACGCCCTGTGACGCTCAGCTTCGTGCACTTCAGGCAGTATGGCGCTGAGTTTCCCCTGGCAGGAAGCTGGTGAAGAGAGGAAGACCAAGGGAGCAATCTCTTCCCATTCCACTTTCCCTATTTGCAAAGTCTTAGCAGTAATTCTGACAGTTTGTCCTTCCCTGGGAGAATCTGGAAAAGAAGCGTAATACTGTTTCAGTACCTGCATATTTTAAGTGGAAAACCAGGGTATATGGTTTGGATATGAGGGTTTCTTGTATCTTTGCTGGGGACTAGACATCAGGACTTTTTGATGGTTATGGGGGCAACAGAATGGAAAATCTAGGCTGTGGGGTCACCATAGGTCAAGTGGAAAGCACGCTGCGGACACGAGTATCCAGGGCCGTTCCCGCACTCACTGGTTTGGTGGCGTCTTCTCCCCACATGTAAACTGATTGGAGGGTTTGGACAGAGGCCTCGCGCAGACCTTCCAGCTCACACATTCTTTCTTGAGCTGCGCTTTTTCTCTTTCCAGGGAGAATGTCAGATTTATATGCATGTGATTTCTGCCAATTTAGTACCTGTTTCTTCATTGCATCCTATGGAACTAAAGATATTCTCTGTTATTTCACAACATAAAACTTCACCAAATCCCTTTTCCCCCCAGAAAATAACCAGGATGGGATTCAATGCCTATTCCTTGCTACAGAAAAGCAAACTGGGTTTTCTCAGTGTCCCCAGCTATTGCCGGTAAGTCAGTGCCTCGTTATGTTTTCTTCATGAGTATTCTTTTTCTGTTTTTTATTTCCATGGTCCGAGAACCCAGTTAGGAGGCCACATAGCTGCTTTGTGAGGAGTCCTCACAGTTGAGGGGCTGCAGCTCACCGCCTGCCTCCTGCTGCTGAAACCAGCGCCGAGGGAGTCGGTGTCCCTCTGTGACTCCCGCAGGAGGCCGTGGAGAGAGGACAGGGGGTCTAGGCAGAGAACTGGGGCAGAAATTTCTCAGGATGCTTTCTCTGTTACTCATAAATTATGTTTAGTTTGGTAGTAAGGTCTTGTAACTTCGATCCTGTGAGCTTTCTGCCTTCTTTTCTCCTTATCTAGTAAGTTGTCCCTAAAAATGGAACATTAAATAGATGTATGCATACTAAACTTTATCTAAATACTTGTGGTCCCTGATATAATTTTAACTAAAACCCTGTGAGCTATAGGTTGCTACTTCCTCCAGTTTCTAGAAGAAGAGACTGAGGCTCAGAATGGAGAGATTTTTCTCAAGGTAAAGCTAGAAAGAGTGGGATCTGCCTGCCTCTCGATGCCTGAACTCCTAACCCCTGTGTCTGCAGCCCCCACTGTGTGGGCAGGTGAAGAAACCACATGAGTTTGGGTGCCTTGTAGGGACACAGATCTCTCATCTCGGAGAAGGGCCACCTCCGTGTGGGCCAGCCATGCAGGAGGTAGGAGCCAGGGCAGGTGGAACCGTGCGTCTCCTTTGATTCCCTAAAGAGGTAAAGATCTGGTTGAAAAAATTTGTTCTTCACCGTTAAACACGCTGTCCTTCATGGAGAGGTGGTACGAGGTGCAGAGGGTAAGGGCAGCGGGGGGGCAGCCGTGTGCCTGGGCCCTTTCCGTCTGCTGCGCGCCCTTCGGCGTGTTTCCTGTCTCCGACGCCGCCTCTGCGTCTCAAGAGAAGGAGTTGTACTGGATGATCCAAAAACAGATTCCTCTGCTTCTGACTTCCTTTGAGCCTGTAAATGGGCCACCCGTTTCTTTGCTTTAGTTTTGCTACGAGTTCTAAAATTGAATTTATTTGGGGGTCTTGCCCATTTCCATTGCTGAGAAATGATAGGGAGAGGACCAACTAGGGGAGATGGTCTTCACGGTATGGGGTAGGGCAGAACCCCTGGCCCTTCCCCCTGGGTATCTAGGTGTGGTGCCCACACCCTCCCTGCCCCTCTCTCCCCCTGCAGTTTAGCCCATGAGCTTCGAGTTAGCTGCATGCAGAGGAAGAAGGTTCAGATTCACAGCTCGGATCCCTCCGCTTTGGCAAGCGACCGATTTAACCTCATACTGGTGAGTGGGAGGGAGCCGTGTGTGGTATTGCTGCCGCCCTGACACTTCATGCCTTAGCATCGGCTCCCATCAGGTCTGGCTGTGTAGGTGCCAGTTGATAGGAGCAGGTGTCTGCTAGGTTTTTATAGTTTTAACAAGCACCTTCTGGCCACCCATTGGCAGGTGCCAAGCTAGCAGGGCAGGCCATGGTGACCATTGTCACCCTATTACAGCTCTGTCATTTGACATGAAAGCCAGGGCCCACCACGCATTGACTGAGAACCATCACAAAGTAACTTTCCCTTGGGAGCTTTGTAAACACACCCAGAAGGTACACAGTGGACCGGGAGCTTGTAATCTTTCCTGTCCTGGGCGGGATTGGGTGGCCGGCCCTAAAGCTCCAGTGTCCTCAGTAGCAGCGGCATGTTACACCCTTGCTTGCTGTTCCGGACCCGTGTAGCAGGGCCCTCTGGGCCTGTGACCCTGGATCTGTGCCTCCCACTTCACGATGCTGTTTGCAGGGAGCAGACAGTCTTCTCTGCCATAGGTTAGACCAGGCTGGAAGGCAGGGCCCACTACTTGAGTCCAGGGGCCAGGGAAATGTTGGCAGAGGGTCCACTGGAAATGGGAGGAGCCAAACTGCTCAGCTAGACTGGGGCCCGAGGCCACAATAGAGCTTGGCGTGTGCAGCAAGCCTGCCCTTCATGGAGGCCTGGGGAGAACCGAGGAGATTGAGGGACACAAAATAGCCTCGGCCTGATGGTCTGCTCACAGGACGGGGGCCCGAAACTGCAGAGCTGACCCTTGACATCTCACCCCAGGCGGCCTCAGTAGCAGAGCCCTTCCTCGTAAGGGATGTCAGTGGCCAGGACTCACATCTGTCCTGTGGCCTTCCCCCACCCTGTGTGTGTTTGGGGATTCAGTTTGACCTGAGTACTTTCTTGCAGTTGGTTCCCTTCAGGAGGCCCTTCCCTGGGGTTCTTCTGTAAACGGGTGGGGGTGGTGTTCCTGGGGTTTTCAGTAAACTGGGGCAGAGCTGCTTAGTGTACCCCGAGCCCCCTCGGCCTCACTCATTGCCTCACACAAGCTGTGAGCTGGCCCCCAGGTGGCCTGCCCCATCTGGCAGCATTACCTTGATTGGCTGGTTGGTGTGGTCAGACAGCTGGGAAGGGTGGCTTGCCGCCAGGATCCATTTTTCAAATCTGACTGCAGTCACTGGTAATGATGCTTCAGGAACGCAGCTCTTCTTCACGGCACACTCACAAAGTGAGTGCAGTTTTACCAGCTAAATATAGATTAAAACACAGAAATATATATAGTTTTTGCTCTGAAATAATTATTAACCACATTTGTAAATGGAAAAAAAAAAAACCTTAAAATAACCCATATCCCAATGCAGTCTTTTCTGTTGTAATTTTTTTTCTCAGTGCAATGCCTTTTTTTTACGTGGTGCTAATCCCGGTGCCTGTGTAATAGGAATGCGATTTTGTACGTTCCTTTTACCTCTTGATACTTTTAACTGTCCACGTTGCTGTGTGCTTTCACGGTGGCCACGTTCTCTGTCCCACGTGTCTCATCTGAACAGTTCCTCTCCATGGACATCGGGACTCTTCCAAACTCAGTTCTGAGCTGGGTGACCGTGTAGACATGTCCAACTTCCTAGCCACACCCCCTCAGTGCCATCCTCATCCCTGCTCCTGAACTGTGCGACCACACTCCTGTTAGCTTTGCCCGGCTGTGGCTACTCCAAGTTAGGGGCAAGTTAGGTCACCTCCATGCTGCATGGAGGGGGACCTCTCACCTGGTGAAAATGCAGAGCACGGGGGCTGTCAGAGACAGGCAGGTGGTCCGAGGCCTGGGAGGTCACCCGCAGTCCACTTTCCCCTCCCAGGCAGATACCAACAGTGACCGGCTCTTCACAGTGAATGATGTCAAAGTCGGAGGCTCCAAGTATGGCATCATCAGCCTGCGTGGTCTGAAGACCCCCGCACTCAGGGTGCACATGCACGAGAACCTCTACTTCACCAACCGGAAGGTACTCCGCCCTCCCCGGCAGCCTTCCAGCCCACTGTGCCTTTGCACCCAGGGGCACTGCAGCAGTCAGCCAGGTTCAGGGCTGGGGGAGGGCTCTGTGAAGGAGGCAGCGCCCGGCTACCTCGTTTTCCCAAGGGGGAGGTGGGATTTTAGACCCTGGGGATCCACCAAGGCAGAAAGGGGCCGCGGAAGTGTCTCGTCTTGGAAGAGAAAGGAATTTAGATGTGGGAAGACTTGAAGCAGTGCTTCTTTCCCCTCGGGAGGTCGGAGTCGGTTTGAAGGAGCCCACACCGAGGACATCGTTCCTGGGAGGCGGGCTGCGGGAGCCTGGGTGGGAGGTCCTCCCTGTGCATCAGGACGACCTGTCAGTCACTCGGCCAGGCTGTGGCTGACCCTGAGGTCCACATAAATATGAGGAGCTTAATGTCTAAAGGGCAACTTTTTTTAAAAAAAGATTTTACTCATTTATATTTAGAAAGAGGGGAAGGTAGGGAGAAAGAGGGAGAGAAACATCAAACGGCTGCCTCTCACACGCCCCCAACCAGAGACCTGGCCCGAACCCAGGCATGTGCCCTGACCGGGCATCGAACCTTTGACCTTTAGGTTTGTGGGACGAAGCCCAACCCACTGAGCCACACCAGTCGGGGCCTCGGGGGCAACTTAGATACATAGTGTTTAAAACGGTCTCTGGGTGAAGTGAGATACGGTATGCCTTCAGAGGCGGGTTTCTTCCCTGCCATTTGAAGAGAGGTCAGCCTCGCCCTGGAGGGTACACCGGATGTCTCACTGTGAGGGCCATGCTGGTAATGAGGGGCTAAGGCCTGGAGGCTGCCCACTCCCTTTCCCTCTTTAAGGCCCTGTGTGCTGAGGCAGGAAGCTTCCCTGTTCTCAAAATGCTTGTTCCAGCCCCTTTTTTAAGGAGCAAGACCTGAAGAAGTCACATGTCGATGCCCCCAAGTGATTCCACAAGAAAGCATTTGTCTGTTGCTCTCTACGAGTTGGCAGTCAGACCAATCTTTCTGTCTTGCTGTGTGCTTCCTCTCCAGGTAAACTCTGTGTGCTGGGCCTCACTGAACCACTTGGATTCTCACATTCTGTATCTTTTGGCCGACGAAGAGGTTTGGTGGGCAGGCCACACCCTGACGTGGACTCGACCTGTGGGTTTGTGAAGTGGCATCCTAGTGGTCAGGGGTCCGGGACGTTCTGCACATACTCTCACCCTTTCAGAAGGAGCAGTGCACGTGGGTGGCAAACACGGATTCCCATGCGGCCCTGGGAAGTAGTTGAGGTCGGGGTGACTCTGAGGTCACTGTGCGCCGTACACTGATCTGGAACTTGAGAGCTAGAGTTTTAGCGGAGGAATAAAGCAGAAAGGAGCAGTAAAATCTTGGTAAGGAACCCCGGATCCTCCTGAAGGGGAGGTAGGAGTCAAGGGCGGCAGTGATCCCGGGGTGGGGTGAGTTTCCTGGGGGAGACGGAGGGCAGGCACGAGAGGAAGGGGGTTCCTTCGGCGTGGGGCGTGGGTCTGTGGGCTCTGGCCCAGTTCGCTGCCAGAGATGGCCTCCTTCAGAGCACTCTTCGTTCTGCTCTCCGCCTTCCCAGGGAGCCAGCAGGGCTTTTCTGCTAGGAGCACAGCAGGGCAGCGTCAGGGTAGCGGGGCCTTCCTCTGGGGTCCCTGGGTGCTTTGATGCACAGGACAGCTGTCTGTCATGTACTTCAGGGAAGAGTATTGTTTGACCCAGAGCCACATGTCAATGAGTCTTCTTCATTCATTTCCACATTAAATGAGTTCTTCGAACTACGACTGCTGGTACCAGACACCTGCGTCGTGAGTTGCTGTGATGCTGACAGCTGACATCTGTGAGTGCACTTCACACAGAGCTGGGCACGTTACGGGTCCCTAGCAAATGATGGCTGAATCAGAACCTATTTTTAAAATTTATTCCACAGCACTGTTACAGAGGGGGTGAAAGCCTAAATTAGAGATCTTCTTATAAAGTTTACGTGAGACAAAACTGTATTTGGTGAAATCGAAAGTTTTATGTGACTTGCTTTTGGGGTCCTTTGGGGTGATGAGTGTACTTGTTGCCGTGATGGGTTACCAGAGGACAGGAGAAACCAAGCCTTGAAGGAGAGAAAACAACCTCACTCATTTTTAATTTTAAAATAGGATAGTATTTTTTTCTTTTTTTTCTAATTGACTTTTTTTTTAAGGGAGAGAGAGAAACATCGATTTGTTGTTCCACTTATTTATGAACTCACTGGTTGATTCTTGTATGTGCCCTGACTGGGGATCAAACCCGCAGCCCTGGTGCATTGGGACAACACTTTAACCGAGCTAGCCGGCCAGGGCCAAAACAGTTTTTTTTTTTTTTTCATGTTTCTGAGGGCTGAGGAGAAGATGGAAATCCGTATAATTGGGTTTGAAGAGTATAAAGAGTATCGTCTTTTGTAGCTTGATCAGCAGTTGGCCCTCTGGTAGTCACTTCAGGTAATCTTCAGGCTTTTGTGTACCCACTGCTTCTGAAAGAACACGGAACTTTCTCCCTGTTCAGACCTGCATTCTGCATTTTTCCCCAAAGAGTGGTGGATGGTCAGACTGAGTTCTTTTCTACACTTACTGGGCTCTTTGTTAACCTGTGGCCTGGTAGAGGATGAAATCTACGGTGCCGGCCCAGTAAGTGTCCACCGTTGGACTATAACCCGGGTTTCAGCCACAGCACTTGAAAGTGCACCCGTGTACGGACTTTCTCCCCACGTCCTGCCCTCCACACCAGAGGTGCTTCGCATGGGGCCCGCCACCCAGGGCAGCATGACACAGATTGTCGAGAATCTTGCCTGGTTGCTTTGCAGATACTTACATTTTTGGATGGGGGGGTGTGCGTCCATTCCACCACCATCTGTTGAGCATATACAATCCCTGTGCAAAGTGCCGGAGATGAACAGATCCACGAGTGACCAGCCTGGGCAGTGATGTCTGCTGGGCAGCTGGACATGAGAGCGATGCAGGGATTGGGGCGGCCTTCCTGCAGGTGGTCCCCACATGGGAAGGAGGGGCCAGAGTTCCATCAGAAGAAGGAGGCAAGGGAGAATGTGGCACCCGGGGCAGCAGTGTTTGGTGTCTGTGGTCTCTGGCTAAGCAGGGCCTTGGGAGACGGAATCCGCAGGGACGTGGGATGCCCACGGAAGATTGTGGTCTCGGAGTAATTTCTCACACAGGCTGGCAAAGGCGAGACCTCAGACGGAAGGCTGCTGCAGGATGAAGCGGGCACTGGAGAGGGAGGCAGTGATGGGCAGAGGTGGAGGAGAGATGCAAGGCTAAGAGGCTTGGGGTCATCTAGGCCGCAGAGTGTTGGTGGCAGGGAAAAGTCCAAGGGTGGTACGCCAAGGGAGTGGGGGTGTGGGGACCAAGAAGGAGTGTGTAGTTAAAAATGTGGTGCATAGCCACGGGGCAGGACTGGAGAGTGTCCATCGGAGTTAGAAACTAGGGCTCATTGGAGACCTTGGGGAGAAACCGGCTGGAAAGGTGTCATACCTGGATTTCAGTGGGCAAACTACTGAAAGAAAGGTAAGGAGTGCCTTTGATAGGCATATGTGATATGCCTGTGTGATAAACATAGGTTCCTGTAGAGAGAAGTCTGGCTGTGAAGGGCACAGGAGAGCAACTAGATCAGCCAGAAGACAGTGCAGTGCAAGAGTAGGCAAAGAATAGGAGACAATCCAAAAAGGAAACTCAAGTGACTATAATCAGATGAATCAGTACACACAGTTGTAGTCAGGGAAGTGCAGATTGAAATAATGAGGTATCACATTATATTCAGATAAGCACACATTTTCAAAGTGCCAAGATGTGGCAGGTTTGGAGAATGGGGAACACTGCCGTGGAAGCGAATTGATGCAGCCACTTTAAGTTGAAGATGCAGGACCCTCACGCCCCCACAGTTCCACTCGAGGGGTGGACAGCAGAGTGGAGCTTCCAGACTGCAGGTCATGACCCGTCAGGGGTCAGCAAGTCAGTTTGTGAGCAGCATTTATAAAGTGAAATAGACTACAGAATATCAGAGTTTCATACGTAGGGCAAATATTTTATAAAACTCTTCTTTTAACTGTGTGTGTGTATATAGCACATAGGAGTGTACAGTTAAACTCTGACCCTGGGCTTGAGAGGCACTGCCTTAGGAAAGCCCCCCGCGCGTGGGAGTGGGAGGCAGGAAGGCACTCATTGCAGCAGCAGAGCGAAGAGAAAGGAAGAACTACCTAAGTGCCCAGCCGCGGAGACGGATAAATAAATCGTGTATTTATACAGAGAACAGTGTCGGTCAAGGAAGTGGGGCCATGAGCACCAGCACAGGCGGGTCTAGAAGGCAACGGAGACTGGAAACTTGTAGAAGATGCCCTTCGTGGTGCCATCTGTGTGTGTTTTTAGATCATGAGCCGCTCTTTACATTGCTCATGGACAAACACGTCCTGGAAATATGACGTGGCCTAGAACAGTGATTCTTTCTGGGTGAGGTAGAAGGGAGAATTGGGCTGGGGAGGGGTGAAAGAAGATGTTAACCGTACCTGTGACCTTTTTTCCTTTAAAAAACACCTGAAACTAAATATGGAAAATGTAAACATGTTAAGTCTGGCTTCATGGGAGTTATTTCTGTAATTTCTTTTTTTTATTTTCTTTTATTTATTTTTAGAGAGGGAAGAGAGAGAGAGAGAGAGAGAAACATCAATGTGCAGTTGCTGGGGGTCATGGCCTGCAACCCAGGCATGTGCCCTGACTGGGAATTGAACCTGCGACACTGGTTCGCAGCCCGTGCTCAATCCACTGAGCTATGCCATATTTCTGTAATTTCTTGAAGGGTGCTGGTTGGTGCCCACCCTCCTCCCAGAGGAGACCTTGTACCTGACTGTCCTTAACAGCTTTTCCAGGCTCTGCCTCATGGGGATCGCCGAGACGCCCGGTTGTGCCACCCTGCTCCCGGCATCACTGTTCGTCAGTAGTCATACAGGTACTGAGTCTTCTTTGTGAAATAAGGGGGTGCTGTGACAGGTCTCTGCCCTCCTCCAAGAAGCTGGAGCCAGCACCCCCACCATAAGCTCCTTGGCAAAGGCTTGAGCCAGAGGCTCCGTGAACCCGTCAGAACTCTCAGGGTGGGGACTGACTGCAGAAGTACCTGTGGGGTGTCCTCCAGCCTGACCCATGGTTTGTACTGAAAGCATGTGCATCTCTACACATTTCCTCCTTTGGGTCATTTCAGGAGCCAGAACAGTTAAGAGTATGTGCAACCAGTACCAGAAATCAAAATATTTGTTTGAGGTGCCTGTTACAGATCATGTCTGAAAGCGACCAGCCGGTGCTCTCTGGGATACTCACGTTCTCTCTGGCCGAAGGCAGTTCAGAATCCCGGGCTTCTTCCTGGCAGCACTCTGAATATTAGGTTTCCAGTCTTTCAGGGAATTCGGATCAATTAGATGAGGGTCAGGCCTCTACGAGTACAGGCTCCAGGCAGGCCTGGCACGAATCCCAGTGTGAACAGATTGCTTAACCTCTGTAGAGCCAAGATAATACCTCCCCCATCCGGTTACATGGAGGATTAAACAAGGTCACAGATGCTTAGCCCAGTGCCTGGCATTTCATTGTACAGCTAGTTTATGAGACAGATATTATCACCAATTTACAGATGAGGAAACTGAGGCAAAGAGAAGTTCCAAATTTGCCTTACAGAACTAATCCGTGGTGGTAGAAGTGAAGATAGCAGTTCCGTTTGGGAAGGGAGTAATGGTGAAGGTACTGAAAAATTCTGTTTCTTAAATCTGGGTTGTGGCTCTATTTACTTTGTGATAACTCATTTAACTGGGCACTTGTGATCTGTGCCCCCTACGTATGTTTTATCAATGAGTTTATTTTTAAAAATGTTTTGCTTGAAGTTAAGCATCTAATAGTGTCACCTGGGACTGAAGCCCTCTTACCTGTGACACCATACTGCCTCCCTGGTAGCCGTGAATATTTTAGTATTTCTCCTGGGATGTCAGCAAAGATTTATGTATTCACTCTCAGAATTACCACTTCAGAACTGGGGACCCCCGCTGAGTGCCTCAGCTTTTTGCTACCACAAAGCCCAGAATGGAGCCAAGGTCTAGACCCCCAGCAAGCAGCTATTCCTGGAGGTTCCCAGATCTGGTGGTCGCTGTCCCCAGAGTGCAGCCATGCTTGACATTCGCTGCCTCTCTCAGCAGGGGACCGCCCCGGCATGCTCTGCAGTTTCCGGATCCCCGGGGCCTGGTCCTGTGCGTGGTCCATGAACTCGCAGGCCAACAACTGCTTCAGTACAGGTGAGCCGTGGCCGCCCCCACAGGTCCTCAGAGGAATGGCTTTCTCAGACCTTTAACGCCCCTGTCCAGCAGTCCCTCCCCCCAGACTACAAGTGACATTTGTCTCTCCACCCCATCTCTGCCTCTGTCAGGCTTGTCCCGGTGGGTCCTGGTGACCAATGTGGTGACGGGACACCGGCTGTCATTTGGGACCAGCAGTGACGTTTTGGCCCAGCAGTTTGCTGTCATGGTAGGCTGGGTTGGGAATATGAAGTTCCCCAAGAGTGGCAATTTTGCTGGATTGAAATTGGATTCCCGTGTGGCATCTGGTCCTCCTCCCCCTTTGACAGGGAAACAAGGGCGGCGGAAAGGGTTAACGGGTGACTTGAGTGTGTCTGCACTAGGGAAAGGTGGCTGATGCAGACAGTCCTTGTCAAACTGGCTTGAAACGACTTCCTGTTTAAATGAGCTGTGAGCAATTCTCAAGTAGTACTTGGACAGGCCAGTAGGACCGTTTTGTTAATGTAGAAATTAAGTTCCAGTTCATAGCACCAAATAGTTTCATACTCAGCTTTTAAGTTACACATTTTATAAACCTAAAAATCAAAATTCTCGTCATCAATACAAGTCAAAGGCTTGTCCCACAGAAAACGCCATCTTTCTCTAAACCGGCTGCGGGAGTGTGCCGACCTGTTTCCAGCAATCAGCACCAAGTTCATCAGTTTGGGTTTCCTCAGCCATCTTCCCTCTCTGTTTGGGACCCCCTGCCTTACCTGGACCTCTGACCTCTCCTACTCCACACCCCTCACCCCAGCTTCTCAGAGCAGCCGTGGTGGAGGCGGGCACCATCACCTGGGCTCCAGAGTGAGGCCTGAGGGGCCAGTGCAGCCCGTGGGGAGGACCCTGGGGACACACGGGGTCCAGTTCTTTTTCTCTTTCCTAAGGAACCCCCCCAACTCCACTGAGGCTCAAACTCTGACCCAGGAGGGCTGAGATGGGTGGGGGGTGTTCTGGAGGGCATGCCCCTCCCACCCTTAGAGGGAGGTGCCAAGCTGTCCCTCTGTCCATAGACTCCTTTGCTGTTTAATGGCTGTCGCTCCGGGGAGATCTTTGCCATTGATATGCGTTGTCGAAACGAGGGCAAGAACTGGAAGACCACCCGCCTGTTCCACCACTCAGCAGTGACATCTGTGCAGATCCTCCAAGAAGAGAAATGCCTGATGGCATCCGACATGGCTGGAACGGTAGGGCAGCACTGCCTTTCTCAAGCCGTCAGAGCCGGTGGCCCAGTGGTCTGTCAGGTGGAGGGACTCGGCAGAAGAGACCCTCGTGCCAGACAGCAGGATGGAAGGGCGGCTAGAGCGCAAGCAGGTTGTGAGCTGTGCAGGGCAGCTGCTCTGTTGCCCACTGGGAGCCCAGTCTGGTTTAGACAGCCCCGAAGCTGGTTCTGGTGCTTTTGATGGACTCAGGGCCTCAGGCATTTGAGGTGTAGCTTTTCCTAACCCAAAGAGGCCCTTGGAGACCACCTCGCCCTCCCTGGCCTCTGTGCCCGAGGTTCCCCAGTGTGCCTGCTGGACCCTCCTTAATAACCCTTGTGCGTCTGCCTACAGATCAAGCTGTGGGACCTGAGGACCACTAAGTGTGTAAAGCAGTACGAAGGTCACGTGAACGAGTACGCCCTCCTGCCCCTGCACGTGCACGAAGAAGAAGGAATCGTGGTGGCAGGTACTGAGGCAGGGAAGACTCTGGTCATCAAATTCTATCCCAAGGGCCCCCAGCATCTTCAGCAACAGAGGGAGAAATTGCTCTAAAACAGCAGGATAAAGGGTTCTGGGCTATTGGGGTTGGGGAGACTGGAGGGGACACGGAGTTGGACATTAGTAGGCAGCAGCTTAAAGATTTTATATTTGGAGAGAAGGGAGGGAGGGAGAAAGAAAGGGAGAGAAACTTCAATGTGTGAGAGAAACATCAATCAGTTGCCTCTCACACACTCCCCACTCGAGACCTGGCTCACAACCCAGGCATTAGCCTTAGCTGGGAATCGAACCAGCGACACTTCGGTTCACTCAGTCCACTGAGCCACACCAGCCAGGGCAGTAAGCAGCAGTTTAAACATCCACATCAGTGGACAAACATCATTTTGGTAAGAGGCTAGTTAGGTGCAATAAAACACAGTAGCTTGGGAGACTTGGTTGTAGGGTTTACACCTATTCACCAGGTCAGCATTCAGTGTGACCTTATCCCATGGGGCAACTTCCATGGAAAGGCTTGGGTTCCCTGTCCCTTGTACTTGCATTTCCACCAGAGCATGCCGAGAAAAGAAATCAAGGTCACTGTAAAGGAACTGAAGGCTGGTCCCCTAACACCGCCCCTGTGGGTCCACATCCACGCGCACACAAGTTCTCTGCGTTCGCTCACTAACCTGCCACGTTCTTCCCTCCCTTGCAGTGGGCCAGGACTGCTACACCAGAATCTGGAGCCTCCACGACGCCCAGCTGCTCAGAACCATACCCTCGCCACACCCCACCTCCAGGGCCAACATTCCCAGTGTGGCCTTCTCTTCTCGGCTCGGGGGCCCCCGGGGGGCGCCGGGGCTGCTCATGGCTGTCCAGCAAGACCTCTACTGTTTCTCCTACAGCTGATTCTGCAGGGCACAGCCTGGAGGACTGTGGACTTGACTTAAGGGAGTAAAAAGTAGCCTTACTTCTGCCATAATTGCTGCTGCCAGTGAAGGCATTTTAAATGGGTGCTCTGTGTGCACAGACCCCATCCATCCAGCTGCTGCGGAGGAAGAAGGTGCTGTGTGTTATGTGGAGACACTTTACTAAACTTAAGTTGTGGGCTCAGAGAGCTTGAAAGTCCTTTTCATAAAAGGTACCTGTTTCCTTTTGTTGAATTCCTTAGACTAATCCCTTCCCCCACTTTTATTTTTAAAAAAAAAAGCCTTTTCTAAGGGCTGAAGGTTGGCAATAACTAAATTAAAGCTTTTTTCACCAAAAGCCCTTTCAAGAAGCTGAGCGATGAGACCGGGTGAGACTGTCAGAGTGGCCGGGGTACAGAGGCATCATCTGTACGCACAAAAGCCACTGGAGAGAAGAGGAACAGGGGAGTCATCTGAGTTCCTAGAGCAAGATCCAAGGCTGGAGTTTGGTGTCATCAAACGAGCCTTCTCATACTCTCGGGAGACCTTTGGGATCCTTCCATTATCACTCACAGGCATTGGACAGAAGGATGGATCTTTTTAGATGCTAGAGGTTTTAAGCAGGCTTGCCTTTTGTTGAGGCACCTTCCAAAATGTTAGGTAGAGCATCTCCTGTTTCCCTCACAGTGACTTGAATGTCAGATTCAAGGGCCCCCTCTCCAAGAAAATTGGCTTTGACTTCTTACAGTGTTAAGAGAAGCAGTTTGTCAGATGTTTGTACCAAGTGTTAAAGAGTTGTCTTTCTACCAGACAATAAACTGAAAGAACTGTGGGATGGTACATCGATTTTAATGATTCAGGAGACCCGATGCTTGGCTGCTGCAGGAACAGACCCGCTACTATACTGTCAGCTTAAATCTTGGGTGAGGAAAATAAAAAGGGTAGACACTGGGACTGGCCTTAGTGGCTTTGCCAAGGAGCTTCCATTTGCCCCTCCAGGCCCACCTGTGTGCCCTCTCCACCTGCTCTGTGTGTTCCCCAAGGCGACCTCTGGACTGCCTCAGTGGCTCTCCAGGCCCGCCCCCCCGTGGGTTCAGGCAGAGCAGAGGTGGGATTGTTAGTCCCCGGCTCACCTCCTGCTGGGCTGTGGGGGCTGTGGTTGAGTTCCTCCACCTAAGGCCGCAGCTTCCGGTGGAACACAGCTCTCTCTAGGTTTCAGTAACTTCTTTCCATGTGTCCCTGCAGACATACAGCTGTAATTGCTCCTCACTGCTGCTAGCCCAGAATGCTTCACCAGTTAAACTCTCTTCAGTTCCCCCCTTGAGCGTTATGTCTGTTTCCTGCCAGAACTCAAACTAATACAATTTAATGTACAGAGAAGCAAATCAAGAAAAAAAAAAAGGATTGGTCATCTGATAAATGAGCTACATGTTGTAATATTTTTAGTGCCTCATATTTTATAAAGGACTTTCCCCTGTCTTAACGGATTTGATCCTTGTAACAACCCACAAGAGAGACAGGGCAGTAGTAGTAACACACAGGTTAGCATCATTTTCCAGGCAGAGAACCCTGGGCACAGGTATCGAATGACTTGCCTCTGATCACAGACCTTGTTAAGTGCAGAGCTGGGTGGGACTTGGAACTGGAAGACTTGAGGTCACATCTATTTTCATGCCCCTCCAGTCACTGACAATAGCTGTGTGTTACACCAGTGCTGTGGAAAAACCGGGAAGTGGCCTGGTGCAAGTGTAAACAGGCAATGCTAACGTTGCATGACACACAATCACTGGGTAAATGAGTTTTTCTGGCACCAGTGGGTAAGAAGCTTGCTAATTCTTACCTGTGGAATCATTTAGATTTGTTCCTGTATCTCGGCAACCCTGTCATACTGACCTGTACATCAGTCCCAGGAAAAATCTACATTTGAAGGGTCCAGGTGGCCACTCACTGCAGTCTCTTGGGTTAACTTGGTGACATGCCCCTGCCCAAGCGCACAAGCAAGCATAGTGCCAGACCATGACCCTAACATCCACCCATATGCTCATCCCCTCAAGATCTAAGTTATTAACAGTACACAAGTTTGTTCATTATAGCACCTACAATTTAAAATTGCTGAGCTTTCTCCACAGTTCCTGTGCCAATTCATTGGCACCGAGAGCCCTTGGTTGGACACACTGTCCAACTTTGCTCTCTCCCAAAACAGTGTAGACATCCTGACCACTCAAGAGGCTACCGGGTAAGTTCTGACAAGTATGGCCCTATCCCTGTATAACTTTTTCATGTATTTTTAGAGAGAGGGAGAAAGAGAGGAAGAGAAACATCAATGTGTGGTTGCCTTTCACATGCTCCCTACTGGGGACCTGGCCCGCAATCCAGGCATGTCCCCTGACTGGGAATCGAACCTGTGACCCCTTGCTTCACAGACTGGTGGTCCAATCTATCGAGCCACACCAGCCAAGTCTCAAAACCCCTAAGTTCAATTTAGTGATTTGTTCTTGATCTCTGGTTAGCAGTCATGACTCCTAACATTTGGTCTAGGTTGTATGAAAAGTGGTTAGACTTAGCTGAGAAGTTGGTAAGCATTTTGGTCTGTTGGCTCGTTAACAGTGTCCCAAAGATTAGTACGTTTGCACAGTCTTGAAGCATTTTCACTTGCGGGTCGACTAGGGCACTTTGCCCTGTTCCCCGGTGACTGGGAAAGGCAGAGAATGAGCAGGCAATGGTGGCGGCAGCACTGGGCTATAATAAACCCTCTGTTACCTGGCCTGGTGTTCGCATGCTCCTACCCTTCTAAACAGAGATGGAGGACAACAGCACATTGATTACCAAAAATGCCCACAGATGAACAAACACCTGCCCCGCGTGCCGTCTTGCTGTGTAACCTCCCTAGAGTTCAGCCGGCCCAGCACGCTCTGGAGGGTACTCGGAATCCTCGGTGTGCCCGGAGGTGCCCTCTGAGACCACGTTAGCCCTACTGCCCGGTCAGCCCTACATTCGTCCTGGTCTCAGTCCATCAAACCATCACCTCCAAAAATAACTGCAGGCTAAACTCAGTTTCTTCCTCCTCCATTTCCTCACTTGCATGTGTTGGTGAAGCCCCCTGGACCACTCCTGTACACCTGCTCCTCCGGGCCGTTCACTGCCTGGCCACTGCCACGGGAATGACCTTGTGGTGAGGCCCCTGCCTTCCACAGCTTCCTGGGCCTCAGAGTAGAACGTGTGGCCTTTGAGATTTGATCGCATAAGCCTCATCCTGCCACCCAATTGCCACCTCCCACCTGGGGCTCTCAGGACACAGACGTTTCAAGGTCCGCCCTCCTCTGGTGTCTGCTCAGACCTCCCCCTGTCCTCTCCCTCCTCTGAAGAGTCCAACTGCGAAGTCTCACCCTCACAGGCACCTCCAGGAACCTGAGTCTCCCAGTGCTTGCCACACCTAGACACTCAGTATTTTGAATAAACAACCGTGTCAGGATTATTCCCTTCATGTCTTACAGCCCTATAAAGTGGGTGATGGTCATTCTAATGTACTGAAGAAAAAAATGGAAGCAATTTGCCCAAGGCCTTCTGCTAAGAAGTGGCAGAGCCAGCAAGTCCAAGAATCGCTTGAAGACCCGTTGTGTTGGAGGAGATGGGATTTTTACTTTGACCCGGGAAGTTTAAGGTCTGCTCAGCTTCGGTTCAACATAGTTTCCCCCCTCTTCCTCCTAAAACCGGCCACCTGTCTCCTACAGATGGCTTCCGGCCTGGTCACCCTGCCTTTGCCCACACTGCCCTGCTTGCCTTCTCGGCATTAGTTGGATGAAAACAGCTATGCCAGGGCACAGAAGACATCCTCCGCAGGGGCCACAGCTGAGGAAAGGCACAAAGGTGCCAGTGCCGCCAAGAGCCCCGCCCAGGGCAGCCAGATCCGTGGTGCCGCGGTTCCCCGGGAGCCCCTTTGGGCTGAGTGAGTGTCTAAAGGACATCGACGGTCTTGTCTCGGGATGGAGCCGGAGCCCTGGAGAGAGACTCAGGCCGTCAAAACCATGGTGGTAGATGAAACTGCTCGGTATTAGCTTCACATATTGGTGGGCTCCACCAAAAGTCCCACAAAAGGCAGAAAAACATACCACTTTCTGCAAATGGCAGTTAGAGATGGCCCTGGTCATATGAGCATACCCCTAATTTCAGGTTCTCTCACCCCAGAAGCCCCTCTACCCCATGGGCTCATAAACCTGTGCGTTTCCTAGGTACAAAAATAGCACTGGCTCTAACTCAACATAGAGCTCATGTTTTGTATGGCAAGGGTCCCCAACCCCAGGCCACGGACCGTTAGGAACTGGGTCACACAGCAGAAGGTGGGCAGCAGGTGAACAAGCAAAGCTTCATCTGTGTTTGCAGCCGCTCCCCATCACTCGCATTACCACCTGAGCTCCGCCTCCCGTCAGATCAGCAGCAGATAGTCGAACCCTACTGTGACCTGCACATGCGAGGGATCCAAGGTGCGCTCTCCTTGTGAGAATCTAACGCCTGATCCTTACGAGGCGGAGCAGAGGTGGTGATGCTGGCACTGGGGAGCGGATGCAAATACCGATTATCAGTGGCAGACAGGTTTGACTGCAGAGAGACCATAACAAATCAATTGCTTGCAGACTCTCATCAAAATCCTATCAGTGAGTGGCGAGTGACAATTAAGCTGCATCTGGTGGCAGGCTGTAAAGCCACCCCCACCCCTGCCCACTGCCACCAGTCCAGTCCGTGGAAAAACTGCCATAAAACCAGTTCCTGGCACCAATGAGGTTGGGGACCGCTGTTCAGTAACTGAAACCAACTCCATTAGCAATAAAGTCAATGGGCTGCTGTTGTAGGTTTGATTTTCTTCCCAATCAGTGGTAGTGCTGAAATTTAAAATGCAAATATGGTTGCAAAATTACCATTAACAGTTAGAAGCTTAACTCCAATGTTACAAGCTGGACAAACTTGCCTCATCTCTAAACCAGCTTCCCTGTTGTTTTTAGTAAAAGTACTACTGTCACTTACCATAAGAACCTCTGAGGACAATGGAAAAATGGTCAGATATAAAGCTAAGACCTTCCTGATACAATAGTAGCAGGTACCTTGATTTGTTAAAACTCTCCTTTTCAGCAAAAGATACTGACCATATCTTATCTGGAAATGCAGGGTAATTTACAACCTGAGGGTGGGGGGTAGAGAAAATACCAGAAACTCTACATTTCAGTACCAAAGGCAGTTGGTGTGGGAGTGGCAAAGGACAGAGGCATCACTCTGGAGCCTTTCAGTCTGACTCCTTAAACCCCAGCTTTGGTTCTCATTTGCCAGTCGACCAGGGGCTTCTGAGCCTCTCTGAGCCAGAGTCTGGCTATAAAACACGGCACTACTACCAGCCTTCCAGTGGGGTGGTGGGAACCAGGTACTATGTAGCCCTCCTAGCCCAGTGCCTGCCATATAACAGAAATCCTAAATATTCTTTTACCTTTCCGATCCCCAGACAATTGAAACCAGCAGAGTTAAACCCAATAGACGTGTAAGGATCCCACTGGGACCCACTATTTAGACCACTTAGTTCTCAGCCAGGAGCTGAAATCTTTGGTCACAGTTCTCAGATATGCTCAACAACGATCTCCTCCACCTGTGTATGAGCAAGTCTCTTAAACCAGAAAGAAGTTATTAGGACATGCCCTAACTGGGTAGCTGAGTTGGTCAGAGCATCACCCCAATACACCAAGGTTGTGGGTTTGATCCCTGGTCAGGGCACATGCAAGAATCAATCAATGAATGAATAAGTGGAACAACAAACTGATGTTTCTCTCTCTCTAAATTAATGAAAAACCGCCCTGGCTGGTGTAGCTCAGTGGATTGAGCACGGGCTGTGAGCCAAAGGGTTGCAGGTTCAATTCCCAGTCAGGGCACATGCCTGGGTTGTGGGCCAGGTCCCCTGTGGGGGCCATGCAAGAGACAACCACACATTGATGTTTCTCTGATGTTTCTTTCTCCCTCCCTTCCCATCTCTAAAAATAAATAAAATCTAAAAATAAAAAATAAAATCAATGAAAAACCTTTATGCAGCATCTCCCTAAAGGGGGGGGGGGCAGGGGTGTAATTTGTGCTGTTAGATGTCAGGATGGTGGGTACTCCTGGTGGGAGAAGGGACCAGGAGCTCTTGGGGTATAGTTGTGTTGTTTCTTCTGGGTGCTGGTTGAGTATAGGCCGAGTTTCAGAACTTTAATCAAGCTGACATGTGTATGCATGGCGGTTCCATGGGTAAGCCTTTGTTTTCATCCTGTATTTAGCTGTTTTCCACCTGCTATTTAGTTCAGGCCCAAGTTGGACAGGTAGAACAAGAAGAGAGACCCTTTTGTTACTGACACTGGGCTCCCTCCCTTTCCTGTTGGTCTGACTAGTGTGAGGCAGAAGTTCACAATACTGTCCCGCATCCTCCCTGCGGCCAGGCAGACTCACGAGCTCGGGGTGCCCCCGCACAGCCGCGGGACAGACAGCCAGGTCTAAAACGAGACACCCCACATACATCGCTCCTCCCCCAGCCCTCCCCACTCTGCTCTGCGTACCCAAGAAGGAGAGAAGATAAAAACAAAAGGGACCAGGAACAGGAAAAGAGAAGGGAAGGGACAAAGACCAGAGTCTCAGTGGCCGCAAGAACGAAGACACAGTGGAGGACAGACACAGGAACTGAACAGACAAAGCAGGGCAGGGGACTGACATAAAACGGTAGAAACTTCTCCCAGGGTCTCCATCGGTCCCTAGGAACAGCCTCTTCTACTGTGAGAGAGGACTCCCCAGGGACTGGGACCCACAGCTACCAGAGTGAAACCCTGACAGCACAAGTTGTCAAGCAGCTGCTGCGGCTGCACCACACAGCACCCAACACAGGCTGCCCTCCTGGGGCCAGGCCGGCAGGGCTCGGCCTGTGCCGCGGCCCTGAACACCCCTCCCCACCACCACCACACCGGGTCTCACAGCCTCCGTGGAAAGCTCAGCCAGTGCAGGAAAACAGCGTGGTCAGTGAGCACGTGTGGAGCGCTCTAGCCACGAGAAGGGGCTCTCTGGTCATCAGTTTGAACACACTCTTAAGGAATATCCGCAAGGTTCCTGGTCCAAGTCAGCAGACTGAGCCGGGGGAAAAGAGCCTGCTGGCATGAGGTCGAAACCCCCGTGATGATGGTTTTGTGGTCTCTGGCCGTGCTCTTGAACTTCTCGTCAGAGCAATAACCTGAGGAGCTGACGGGTAAGACATGACCACCACCCTAGAGGCGCGCCTCACTCGGCTTCTGCTCTGAAAGCCACCAGCTACTCCCCTTCACCTAGAGGGAGGGAGCAGGACTCACAAATGGAGTGAAAGGAGAGTCAGCACAGCACGCGATCAGCAGGAGGGTTCCTTTATAACGGCGGATTTGATGACACACAGTACTGGAGGAGGGCCTCGGTCGGGGTTGGGCCGTGGGGGAAGGGGCAGGTCTGAGGACCCACGCGTCCCAGGCCCACGTCACATGGACACCCGCGCAGGGTGTGACGGCCAAGGACCTCCCTGAAGCTCACCCACCCACCCACCACCAGTTCCGTCAAGAACTATGTCGCCATTTGATTCTTCGTTTTTGGCCACTGAAGATAAAATCCACCATGACGACAGGATTTCAGCAGAAGAGTCTCTTTCCAGTCACGATAGATGTGGATGTCCCAGCTCTTAATGAGAAACAAAAGTCCATTTGACTTCCTCTTGCAAGGACCAGAGAGAATTTTTTTCTTAGTGATCTGTTGTAATATTTATATATACTAAAAAAAAAAAAAACCCAAAACAAAAAACAACTAACAGTCCATTCTGTGCTCTGTTTCCCTGGAAGATTTCTCATGATCGCCCCTCCAATAAGCTAGAGGGGTCACGTGTCTGGGAACAAAGAATTAAGACACTTCAAAATGAGCAATAAAAATCCTAGTGCAACACTCAGAAGCAGATGATGGGCCTGAGCGGGTCGGGTCGGAGGGGAGGGAAGCAGGTGCTCTGTTCAGGAGCAGGGTGGACCTTCGGGAAAGCCGGGTGGGAGCGGACAGAAGCAGCAGCAAGCAGGGGGAGGCCCGCTTCCTCCCAGGCTCTCCCCAGGTACGAGCGTGTTACACCGCCCGCACTGGGACTCCTCGGGGCTGAGGACCCTATCCCTCGCCCTCCACCCACTCCGGTGACCTGCACGCTAAGTTGAGTCGTCTCTGAGACAGGCTGAGGCCAAGGGCTGGGGCCCACCCTGGAGGGCCAGGGCAGACCCCTTTCAGGCGATTCCAAGCAAGCACCTGGGAAACTCACTTGCTCAGGCAACCAGGAGGCGTGAAGGGAAAAGGCAAGGAAAGGAGAGGCCTCAAAGGCTTGGGAGAGAAGAGAAGGGGACCAGCAACACAGCGGCTTTGTACCTGGCTCGGTTTTACGGGGAAGACCTGCTGCCACTGTCGCCTGACCCCTGTGCTGGGGACAGACTGCAGTGAGTCTCTGCAGCCAGCAACAGCCTGAACATACTCCATGTCTTTTCATCTGTCTATGTGGGTATATATATTTTTATTATTTTTAACTGAAATAAATGCAACAGATTTTATAAGCTGCTCAGGCCCCAGCCCTGAAGGGTTGATGCCTCCGGGCCTGCCGCCAGGCGCACCCCAGCCTGCCGTCTGCCCTGCCCCACGCTGCGGGAAAGGCGCCAGGATGAGCAGAGGGCCTACACACCACAACAGGTGACCGGGAGGAGGGCCTACCTCAGCGAGACTTCTGTTTCTAACCCTGAGAACCTAAGGAGTTGTGAAGGACTTGGAGAGGGAGCTAGGGTTAAAGGTCACCCGGCTTTTTATTGCAGTTGAAGCAGACTCGGACAGGATGGTCCCAGCCTCGGGAAGGGACGGCCCGGCGGTCATGGGAGCACTCGTCGCAGAAGCCCTGTCCGCAGGCCCGGCAGTGGTGCTTGGACAGCTTGATGCTGAACTCCTTCCGGCAGTTGTGGCAGTGCAGGATCTCATGGTCGGGCACCCAGTACGCCGGCCTGGCCGCATCCTTGACCAGACCTGTGGCAGGGAGGGAACCATGATGGGCGGGACACACGGCACCCAACACCCCGAGTCCCGCTGTGCAGGCAGGCACCCTCGGACCCTCCGCTTGCTCGCAATCCGACCGCACCCAGGACCACCTATGGACATTTGCAACAGACAGATGCCTGCTCTCCCCCGTGCCACCCAGGCCAAAGTCTTCAGGGCTGGGATGCAGACACTGAAATCTGCATGTCTGTCAAGCTCTCCAAGTGACCCAAAGGTGCAACTGCGTTGAGAACCACTGGAGTAACGACAAGAAGTTGGACTGTGGAGTCAGGACAGGTCTTCGTTCAAACCCCAGTTCCATCGAGCACCAGCCAATCAGCAGCCACACAGGGTTACAGAGGTTCTCCTGGGTGCCTCGGCCTGCTCATCTTCCACAGCCCACCTTCAAGAGCTGTTATGGGGATCATAAGAAATAACGTGTCTAATGCACTGGCCTGGGACCCGACAGCAGGGGAGCACTTGGTGAGCACGGCTGGCAGGCTCTCTGCGCCAAGGGCAGACCATGCCTCGCCCAGGCACCTGTGAGTGCAGCTGTAACCTGTGCTTCAAGCCTGGGCAAATCCATCTCTTCCCGCACCCTGGAGTCAAAAGCTCATTTTGTGAGCCACAGTAATTAAATCTGCACCAATTCTGATTATCATCTGCCCAGGGGTCCTTGGTCTCTTCTCTACAAAGGGTCAACTTACCCCAGGCCCCGACAACCCTGCCTAAGCCCTCCACACACTGGTGGGTTTCTCTTCCCATCTTGGTTACAAGTGCCCCTCACAACCAAAGGCGAGTGGCTAACTTAAATCTAAGTGAGTGACAGCTTGGCTGGTGTGGCAGATTAAAGACAGCCACACATTTGCTGACACTCCTGCCCCCTCTCCCAAACCCAGGCCGGATCTGTGCCTACAGAAGACTACAGTAGCGCTGGTTTCCGGGCCTGGGCCTTAGCAGAGACTGGCAGCTTCTACTTGTCTCTTAGAGTATCAGCTCTTAGAGCTCTGAGCCACCAGGTAAAGAAGTCCAGCTACACCGAAGAAACCACACAAAGGGCCTGGAGAATACATGGAGAGAGAGGGAGGGTCTGCTGAGCTCAGCCTTCCAGGCATCCCTGCCAAGGCCCAGCATGTAAGTTGGGGTGGCTGGGACCCTCAAGGCCAGTCCCGCTGCTGTACTGGAACATCAGGTGGTAACTGCTACTGGAAGCAGAAGAATTACCTTCCAGACTTAAAGTTGTGAGACATGGTGAAATGGCGGTTGTTTGAAGCCTTAATGTTTTCAGACAGTTTGTTATGCAGCAACCAGTGGTATGAGAGAATGGCCTCCAGAAATAAACACGAAACCACTAAGGCATTCTGCAGAAGTAAGTGAGTGTCAATCACTTTTCAGTCAACTGCCTGCTGTCCAGCTCAACCTAGCTCTGCCAGCCTTTGACAAAATGACAACCCGGGACACCCTGCAGCCTTTCATCCCCATGGACACTGCACTCAGGAGACGCGCTGCCAGGCCCACCTAGCGGTATGTCAATGGCTGTCACCACGGCTCCCAGAGTGTTCTGCACAGCCTCGCCCACCTTCCGAGCAATCAGCGTCCCGCCTTCCTCATCCGCCTGTACCTCAGTAACATCTGTAGACAACAATAAAGGAAAAGCCATCAGCTCTTAGTCACGTCCCAAATGGAAAAGTCAGAGGGCAATGGCAGAGCACTCCTGGATTCTTCTGCCAGGGTACCACTGAGCTGTCTGTCCTGCAGTGGTCACAAGTCTGGGCTATGGGTCAGGTTAGGTCAGCCCAGGTTCTAAAACTGGGTGACATCTGTTAGTCCTTTACCTCAGCCTTCCTTTAAAGGAAAGCAGAAAGGTTCCAGGAGCATGACCTAGAACCTTCTCTAAGAAGAAAAGTCAGTCTAAGCCCTGTGTGGTAACCACAGGATAGGAGTGACCTCCTCCCCGGCCCCCCTACCACGGACTAGCACCCCCAGGACTCAGAATGACTAGGCAAGACCAAGGGAGCAAATGCTCTCAGAAGAGTGATGCAGTTAGGGGCAGGGTTGGGCGTTTGGCAGTCCAGTTCCCAACACCCAGTGCCCAGGAGAGAGGGTCCCCGCCCCACCCTCGCAGCACCCAGGCCCCACGTTACCTAACTGGACATTCCTGGCTTCGTAGCAGTTGTCGCACACCCGCACGGGCACGGGGCCCCAGCCCCGCTCGGGCACGGGCCGGGTCTTGGATGAGCAGCCGTCACAGAAGCCCTCCCCGCAGGCCCGGCAGTGGTGCTTGGTGTCGTTATCTTTAAAGGACGCAGCACACTTGCTGCAGCTCTGTTCCAAGCCCAAAACAAACAGAGGCAGGTAGAATTTGTGTCTGCTCCGCTGAGAACGTTACCGAAACCCACGGGGGGACCCCGGGCCCATCCTGAATGGTCCTCATGCAGGGACCCTAAAACCTCCAGCCACGTGGAATGCCCCCACTGTGAGGCACAGCTGTGACGATCATTTTCTTCCAAGAAGTGCCTGGAAAGGCTCTCAAATCATTTGGCTGAGTCACAGGGTTCTCAGAGGAGCTAACTGTAGCCAGAAGGAAAATGAGACTTTGTTTTCTAATGGCTTCTCCAAAGAACCTCTGGGAAGCTAGTAAGGAACGAGAATTCCCGGTCACACAGAATTTGGGCCAAAGCTGGGTGCTCCTTTGCTGTGGGCGCTGTAGAGGCTTATGAATCGAGCCACGGATGACCCTAAATGATCTCTAAAGGTCCCTTTCCTCCAGATTCTGATCACATCTGATCTGACCTTACACATCTGATCAATAATGATTGGCAAGAAAACTAAAATCTACCACAAAGAAAATACTTGCAGGATAACGCAAAGGGAAATCAGCCGGCAAAGAGGACACCGGCTGCCTCCAAGTAACCCCCTTTTCCAATACTCTGGGAGCTACCCTGACAGGGTGGGAAACCCCACGCCTCCCCCCCAGAGCAAGCTCGGGACAGGGCGGCACGGCCGAGCGAAATGGGCCGTGTCAGGGATGCAGAGCGTCCCGCCACACGTACCAGGATCTGGGAGTTGGGCCTCCAGTAGGCCGGGGCTATCTGGTCTGTCAGCCAGGAGGTCACAGCCTTGGTGGGCCCCAGGCTGAGCTCCGACACCGACTGGGCCATGAAGTTCACCCCGTCCAAAAGGCGCTGGGCAGCATTGTTGTTGTCCTTCAGAAATCCATCGGTCTGAAATGAGAATGCAGGCTCCCATCATGCTCTGAGTGCAGGGAGTCAAAGGGAAAAGGGACAGGGGTGTCGGGTGAGTTGCACACTCGTCACGGCCAACTCAGAACCACAAACCCCTGGCAAAGAAAAATGGGGACAGACCAGGAATCCCTCGGGCTTCTAGGCAACACCACACCAACGAGTGTGCTGACTTATTCTCTTCAAGGTGACCACAAGGCTTGGTGCACAACTGTTCAATTCAGAACTTACTTTGCTCATAAGCAAGCTAAACAAGGTCTGTCCAGAAGGTATCCAGCCATGTAATATGAAAAATAGAGACATTTATTGAAGAAGATACAAGATATAAGAAACACTGTACACAGGATAATGACACCTCAGTCCCCTTCAAAGCAGGAACCCTGGGACCTCACATAGTTCTCCCAATCACCATCAGCTGCCCTGTCATATTTTCCTGAATCTTGACGGTCTGAAATCTCATCACTTTCAAAGATGATTTTAGTTTTGGGAAGAGCCAGAAGTCGCAGGGTGAGTCACCTGGGTGATTTGATGTTTTGCCAAAAAACTCTGCACGAGACGTGATGCATGAGTGGACATGCTGTCATGATAAAGCTGCCCATCATCAGTTGCCCATAGCTGCAGGCTTCTAAGTCATTTGAACAGTTTCCATGGATGAATGTTCAGGCTTAACACAAAATCTGATGCAGATTCATTGCTCTACTTGCTCATTTTGAATGTGACAGCCATACAGTACACATGCTCACTCAACAGCATCTACCACCCCACTGACTAGTACAGTGAAGCCCTCATTGTTCATGCACATACATTCCAGTCCACACCCCTTGGCTGCAAGGTTACATGGATGTTGCACAAACCGTTCTCATTATATTAACAATGGCTGGACTTTTCTGAACAGACCTTGAACAATCCAAGAGGTACTTGTGTAAAAATGGCACCTCCTGCAGGAAGCCCCCTGCCCCAGGCTGGGTTAGAAGCCCTTCCGCTCAGTTCCTCTAATACCTGTACATCTCCAGGACTCCTAGTTCTACGGGTAAGTGCAGTATCTGTGGACTTGACATATGAGACTGGAAACTCTTGGAAAATAATAACCTTTTTCATTTTTGTACTTTTTCCAAGTATGTAGTTCAATTCTGAGCATACGATATTCAACAACTTATGTTGAAATAACAAATGAATGAATGAATGAATGGAAAGGGAGGAACATGTATTTCCCTAAGTCCAAAGACAATGAGGGGTACAGCCTAAAAGTAAACTATAGCATTACTGTTTGCTTGGACTATAAACTATCTTGCCATAGAGATGTTAACTCTTACAAGAAAGAACTAATGCCAATCAAAAAACAAAAGACAGCCCTGGCTGGTGTGGCTTGGTGGATTGAGCACTGGCCTGTGAACCAAAGGGTCACAGGAGCAAATCCCAGTCAGGGCTCATGGCTGGGTTGAGGGCCAGGTCCTGGGTAGGGGGCACTCAAGAGGCAGCCACACAATGATGTTTCTCTCCCTCTCTTTCCCTCTCCTTACCCCTCTCTCCAAAAATAAATAAATGAAATCTTTAATAAATAAGCAAATAAATAAAGAACAGTAATAAAACACTTTGTGAGCAAGTGATACTAGAGTGAGGCCACATTAAATCCACAGAACAGAATGGCCTGGACCATCCTGTCAATGGTGTCTGCTCCAGAAGCGAGACCACACTGCAGGAACAGATTTCAGTGGGGCTGGAGACCAGAAAGAAGAGGAACAGAACAGCAAGGAAGTCGTCAGTTTCACGGCACCCGAAGGACCCAGGAAAACTCACAGTTGGGTCTGCAGGTAGGCCTTTCAGGCTGACCAGGGCTTTAGGAATCACCCGGCAAGAGGGATATCACCGAGTAAAATAAATCCCTTAGAGAAAATTGCTCAGCTTTTTTCCATGACAAAAAAAAAAAAAGATTTTGGACCTGGCTGGCGTAGCTCAGTGGATTGAGCACAGGCTGGGAACCAAAGTGTCCCAGGTTCGATTCCCAGCCAGGGTACATTCCTGGGTTGCAGGCTATAACCCCCAGCAACCGCACATTGATGTTTCTGTTTCTGTTTCTCTCTCTCTCTCTCTCTCTCTCTCTCCCCCCCCGCCGCCTTCTCTCTCTAAAAATAAATAAATAAAATCTTAAAAAAAAATATTTTGGATGTGTTGTGATTGATGGGTGATTCCAAATGTGACTTGTGGTTTCATGCAGGATGAAAGCAAAATATCAATGCCTTGTCCACAGATTTGCTTTTCTAACATCTTGAATTCAAAAGTCAAATAAAAAAACTATAGTAATAGTTTTTCTATTAGTAAAGGTCTATAGCAATCCCACTTCTTAGAGTATATGCCGAGAAAATGTCCAAAACAAAGAAATGCCTTTCTTACCTAAAGATGGTCACTATAGCATTTTCTTTAATAAAAGAACCTCAAAATAACATTGTGAACATTTAAAAAGGGAATGGGGAATCAAACTATAACATTGGATAGAATGTTACACAGTGACTACGAATGAGAATCATGAAAAGTAGAAGCAATGTGGAAATAGAATTGTGGTAGAAAAAACAGGCAGATAAATAGCACATAAAATTATAACTGCATCTATACAAACATATGCATATGGAAAATGAGTGAGAAGACTATGAAAAAGTGAAGTTTTATTTGCTAAAGCATTATAACTATAGATCAATTTTTTTTTAATATTTTATTTATTTATTTTTTAGAGAGGGAAGGGGGAGAGAGCGAGAGAGAGAGAAACATCAATGTGCGGTTGCTGGGGGTCATGGCCTGCAACCCAGTCATGTACCCTGGCTGGGAATCGAACCTGGGATACTTTGGTTCCCAGCCCGCGCTCAATCCACTGAGCTACACCAGCCAGGGCTTAGATCAATTTTTCATTTAGTCAAAACTGTGCTTCTAATATTTATGCAGAAAGAATGAAAATAACAACCTAAACAAGAAAGGCTCTCCAGATCATGCCTTCCTAAGCCACCAACATATGAAACTCATAGTTAACCTTAATTCTAAATAAGTTCCACTTTCCCACACACATGAATAACTGAATGATGCAGGAGAAAGAAGAATAAATAAAGCTGCTCTTACTCCAGGCCACACATGCACAATCTCTGTCCGCACCACCGTATCCACAGGATCTTGGTTCCCAAACCAGTATTGCCGGCTACGATAGACCACGCCGCAGTTAGGACATTCGATCACATACCTACAAGGAATGCAAATAGATACTATTACCCAGCCAGGCGCCTCGGGAGACGAACACACCAAACAACCCTTAGCTACGTCGTATAAACTCACCCAGACCAGGCATATTTTGCAAGACCCATCCAGGGGGAGTCGGTGGAAGCAGATGTCTTGGGTACTACGCTGACTTCCTTGCCTCTCTCATAGCAGGCCTGAAACATGGAGCACTCTGCCAGCTTCTTCTCTGCACACCAGCCCCATGGCCTCTTCACGTCCCGGTGCAGCCCCCACGCCCCGCAAACCACACCAGCTAAAGGTTTACTGACCCTAAATCAAGCCCATCATAAGAAAGTTCATTTCTGTAAAGAAGCCAGCACCCCGAACGGTCATGAATTGAATGTATACCCATCCTGGGCCCCAAAACTGAGCTGTAAACTATACACCTGTCACAGACAGAAGGAATCAAAACGGGATTCCTGAGAAGCACTTCCATTCTTAAGGAGAACAAAGAATCAATAGACAGAACTCCTGCATACAAGTTCAAGAGAAGGAGGGGAAAATAAGCTTAAAAAAAAACAACCCTAAAAACCATGAGGCCCCAGCAACAAAGACATGTGAGTTCCTTTGGTCAGAGCTGGGGAGAAGTTCCAGAGATATTCAATTTGAATGTCAGATACTTTGAAATGCAGCAAGGGTGCCCCAGCCGGTCTTCCCAAAAGGAGGGCGTGACCAGCAAGCCAGGCGCTGAAGCAGGGGGAAGCTGGGAGGACTCACCTTGCAGGTGTAAACTCGGTTGTCATACTGGTGGGAGTAACTGCAGCGGCTCTTGGCTTCGTGAGGTACTCCTTCTTTCCCATGATTCATGCTGTTCTTACATCCAGCCCTGAGTGAAGCCCAAAAGCTGACAATGAAGTGGCCAAAGAAGCCAAGCGACTTACGCAGGAGACTCTGACCCTGAGCCAGACACAGGGCCAAGGCCAGACCCTGGTTATTAAGTAGGCCCCAGACATGGGGCACAGAGAGGGCCGTCTGTCTCGGAAACCCACGTGCTTCTCTTACGCTTGCAATCGACATCATGACAAAGGCGGAGCAATTATTGCTCGTATATGAGGAGAAAAAGAGGAGTGAGGAAACGCTTCTCAGAAAAACCACCAGGCCCTCCACAGGAATAGAGGAGCCAGAAGATCATCAGCTTGACAAGAGATTTATCCTGAATGGCTCTCAGGGAATTAAAAAACCCAAACAGCCCTGGTGGGGTGGCTTAGTCGGTTAGAGGGTCATCCCATGTTATCTTTCCAAGATAATCCTTAGCTTCTCCCAATCTTCACTGTAGAATTCAAGGCCCAAGTCCTTTTTACAAGTTCAGAGCCTGGCAAGTGGCCTACAGGGTTCAATGCAAAAAGGCTACTCATCACATTCACAGAAAAGGCTCAGGTGTCTCCTCCCATAGAAGGCAAATGTGGAGGACCCGGACAGTGGCCTAATGTGAACAAGGACAATACACTGGTGAGGGGGTAGGAGGGCGGGGAGTGAGTGTCTATACAACATGGAAACTGCAACCAACTATGACACTCTGCATTTAAATCCCCTGGGCTTCACCTGACAAGTCACCAAACTGTGATTTAAGAACCATCAACAGCTCAAATTAACCCAGTGATTCTCAAAGTGTGGTCCCCTACTGGCAACATCAGCATCACCTGAAAACTTATCAGAAATGCAAGTTCTCAGGCCCAACATCAGACCTACTAAATCAACCTGTGGGGGCGGGCAAGGCCCAACAATCTGCTTTAACTCATCCCCCAGCTTTCCCCGAAGCACGCTACACTTGGGGGGTCGCTGCTCTGCTCCCCAGACCAGCATCACAGGCATCACTCAGAAGCGTGTCAGAAATGCAGAGTCTCACCCAGACCTGCTGATCCAGAATCTGCATTTTAACAAAACCACAAAGTGACGAGTACACATACTGAAGTTTGAGAAGCACTGCCCTAATGCAATGTCCTCAACTCAGGGTTCACATCAGAATAATCTCCAGAGCCTTTTAAATATACCAATATCAATGCCCCACCCCGATCCATTAAATCAGCCCCCCCGGGGATAGGGCCCAGGCCTCGATAATTTTGAAAGCTCCCTGGATAATTCTAAGCGTTTGCCCTCACAGTGAAAGGAACCAACAAGGACTGATAGAGGCCGCAGTGCTTTGCACACTGGGGGTATCGAATATTAGTTGGAGAAATGGAATAACTATGATTGAAAGCCCTGGTTGGAGAAACATAAAAAACCCGGCAACCTGAAGCCTGAAGTATTCTCTAGTAAAAACCGCCCAAACCAGAAGCCAGTCAATGTCACATCACAACTAGGTTGAAATCTTCAGGGGATTCTTCATAAGCATCTGTCCTGGAACCCCCTACAACCTCACAGTGTGGTTCCCCAGCCACCAGCAACACCTGGGGACTTGGAAATCGCCATCTCAGGCCCCACCCCACCCGTAAATCAGACCCTCTAATGTACCCAGACCCCAGGTGATCTGCATGCACTGTTCTGAGTCTCCCTCCCCAAGATGGAGAGGTGGCTGGCCTCACTTACCCACAGCTGAGGCACAAGGAGGAGCAGGTGAAGTACTCATCTGGAAAAAAGGAGCTGTGTGCCATCTGGTCATCGGGGATCTCGCCGCTGAAGCGGTCACTCAATGCCTGGCGAAAGGAAAGGTACAACGTGAGGTCCTCAGCACACAGCCCTGTGGTCTGGCCACGCTTGCCTTCCTTAGAAAGAAAGCCCCACTTGCCTCTCTAAGATGCCCTCACTGCCGGCTTATTTCTTACAGGTTCCACAGCAGGAAGAGGGAACTCACCTGCAACTTTCTTGGACCAGCCCGCACCAGTCAGTCCTCACCACGGGAAACCTCAGAGAGAACCAATCCACCTTTCCAAGTGGTCGGAAGTGAGCAAGTCACTGTTCCCTCCTAATTACCTCGGAGGTTACAAACCCCTCACACTCAGTCTTTCATTCAGAACCACCACAGACACTGACTAACGCCCACTTCACCCTTGTGAAGCTGGGACCAAGACACCGAGACCTGGGAAAGGGGCTTGTCTCTAAGCCAGATGCAGAGCGGGGCCGTGGACTGGGAGCTGCGTGGGCTTCTCTCCAGTTCTGACCACAGGCACACATTTCCTAGAGTTCGCTGGGCCACAGAACTGTCCCAGTGTAGAAAAATTGTGTGTCATCGGCCAAAAAACAAGGAAGAATTATTATAGTGTTTGGCCGCCTTTTCTCAGCTACAGTAACCTAAAAGACAGCAAAGGACCCAAATAAATGCCAAAAAGGAAGATGAAGTGTTTGCAAGGGCAAAGTGAACATTTTACGTTGAAAGGCACTTCCACTTCTAATCCTGTTTTCACACATTATATTATACTGAAATGACTCTTCAGGCTGACTTTTCTTTCCCCTGGCAGGCCCTTAGTCATATGCAGTGGAAAAGTTATCTAAATGAACAGAAATGGGCTTTCTAGGCTTCAAAAAAACATTCCACGTACACAGTTCCAAGCTTCTAATCTTTTAGTTTCCTGTTCTGAGGCCGTCAGGCACTAATCACGGGGAGAGAAAGAAAAGGAGCCTAAAACGAAAGGACAAGATGTTACTTACTTTGGTGAAAAGGCTGAAGAAATTTTAAGGTGAGATTAGAAAAGGGGCAGATTAGGTGTTAAACTAAGGTTCTCAAACTCTGAAAGCAGTTTCACTTAATGAGAACTTATTTGTTAAAGTTCCTTTTCCTCTTCTCAATGAAGTCTTAATACCATGAGCGGCAAACTCAGGTGTTTACAAGGCCCAGTGATACCGGTGTTGAGTCAGGTCAGGTGTAAGACAAGAGTAGAGGCCAGGAGTGTATCACGTGAGGATGCAGGACTGGCCTAACGGCGCTCAAATTCAGCTTCTGCAGGGATAATGCACAGCCCGTAAAACATCATCTGCCAGCACCGGCCAGCCAAGCCGGCAGTCCTTGACTTAGACACGCCCAGAAAAGATCTCACGAGTAATAATGTAGTAACACATGTGACTCCTATCGTCTTGTGGGTAATTTTTTACATGCTAACTTAGGGAGAACACTGAGATTCTGAAAGACAAATGAAATACATATGAGTATTAATGAGAATAAATGAGAAGCAAGGCAAGCAGAATCACTCACTAGCCCATACTGTCCTCTTCTCTCCCGCTTCTTAATATGACCCATCCTTAGGGGATTTTTTTGGTCTCACCTCTTCCACGAAGCCTTCTCAACCACTTTAGACACGCCACACTCTGCCTTCTCTGATGGCCCGTTGTATGCAAAACCTAAACTAGTACTGAGTAATTAGGCAATGATGCAAAGCTTTGGGCCTGCTGTGTTTCATCTCCTAGGCTAGATCAAAAGTGCTATGAAAGGAGTTTCCTCCCTCTACATCCTCTAACTCCTAGTGAAGGCCCCAGCAGGCACCTAACTAGGACCTCTGGAATGAAGTACCCCAGCACCAACCCCCCCCACCACACACACACACACACACACCCCGCCCTCCCCTCCTCACCTTGGCTCTGCCTCTGCACCAGGCTTCATCCCCCAGGCCCACAGGGCCTCTCTCATTTTAGGTTAACTACTCTCTGATTGGCCAAATCCCTGATAACTCTTACGGCTATATTTCTCACAGGTGTGTGCATAACTCTCTGGGGCTAGCTGGTGGGAAATAGAGTATTATCTTCCTAATGCATCAATTTACTGAAAGATCTAGGGAGCAAGTGATTTTTTATATAAAAACCAAACATAGATATAATATGAAACTAAGTGGAAAACTTGCGGAAATTAAACATGAGGCCCTCCCCTCGCTCCCTCACCAGTCACTTTAGGTTTTAGTTGGCAGCTATTTCCTTATCTGTAAAATGGGAGTAACACCCTGGCTGGTGTGGCTCAGTGGACTGAGTGCTGGCCTGTGAACCAAAGGGTCGCCAGTTCAATTCCCAGTCAAGGCACATGCCTGGGTTGCGGGCCAGGTCCCCAGTAGCTTACCAGTGAGAGGCAACCACGCATTGATGTTTCTCTCTCTTTCTCTCTCCCTCCCCCTCTCTAAAAATAAATAAATAAAATTTTTTAAAAAATGGGGATGTCAAAAGTACCTCCCTCAGTAAGGGTCTGCATGGGTCAAGGATCAAGTGAAGTCACCCATATAGAGCATTTGGCGCAGACTAAGAGCTCAGAAAATGTTGGCTGCCATTATTAATATCATTTTTATTGCTTTTTTATGCTGATAATTTTATTTTCTTCCTTAGACTACCTCACTACCTAATTAGATAATGCAGCCTCCTGGCTGCTCGCACGACAGGGTGAATACGATTAAGTCCTCATTTGAGGTCATTGATCAGCAGGTTCTGGGATGTGATGAGAACGACCGAAACCTAAACCAATTTTGCACAGGCCCACTGATACAAACAAGGGTTAAGCCTGCAGCACCTCATCAACGTTATAACAAAACATTTAACGAAACATGATTTGAGGACCTGCGATATTTAGCTGCAAAAAGATGCTTGTGTATCTAATCAGGTGATAGAGAACGTTAAAAAAAGGAGAACTAAGGAATGTAGAATCTACTAAGGAGGTATAGGGAAAAGCAAAGAAAAGCAATTTTAGCCCCTGAATTATTTCTCCTAAGTGGGTAACTAAAAGGATAACCTAAGCACTAACTTGCCTTAGGAAAAATAATATATTTAGCATGAGTTTAATAGTCTGGCTGGATTTGGAGGGGGCAATGCCACTCCCCAGCAAAGATAAACTTGCAGCCCAGCAACAGTGACAGTACAAGAATCTTTTTGTTCTGAAACCCAAACGGCCTGGTTCTCTGGCCATTCTCTGAAGTTCCCTGGTTCTCTGAAAGTTCTTCAGAAAATCGGGGGCATTTCTAAGTATTGTATCTCGAAGTCTGGCATGAAACAACCTGCGGCCTGACTGCCATGGTACATGTGCCCACAGGACCTCCATGGCTGCCTGCCCGAAACAAAGCAACTGTTGGCTCTGTCGGCCAAGGCAACAGTAGACCCTTATGACATCATAAAGAGAACTCCCAGACTAACCGGCCTCATCACTCCACATGCCGGTCACCCATCCTCTGAAATGCTGGGAAACACAAAAAGCATCTTACTTTCCGCACAAGTCACTCAAGTAATGATCAGACCTTGACAAGCTAGGGAGGATGCAGCATGAATCAAGAGTATGGGGATGTTCAGTAACTGTTTAAAAACAAATCTGATGTTAGAGTGATTCAGATACAAGGATAGGGAGAAACTGTCCTCCTTCCTCTGTAGCCTGACTGCTCCCGTCCAGCACAGACACTACCACCTAACCCACACACTTCTTCCTTTAAAATCTCCAAACCTCACATCGCCCCGGGGCTTCCTGGGCTCTCTTCCTCCTGAAGCCCCACAGCTGTGAAAGGAAGGCTGGGGCGAAGCTCTCCTGAACGGGCTTGGGAGAGCATTTGTGGTAAGTCTGGAAAAGGTTGCCTGGAGACAGGAGGATCTTGAACTCTGGTTGTCCTGGCAACAACAGTGTGTCTCTTTCTATTGAACCTAAAAGGTTAGCCCTAGTCATCAATGGCTAGCACTAAATTTCCTGATGCAAAATGGACTCTTAGGCAACCAACGATGCCAACTCCAATAGAATATAATGACTTCATAAATACTTAATAAATGCGTCCTGATGTGAGAAAATTGGAAAGACAGAGCTTCTACATTTTGAGATTGGAGGCTGGAAGAGGTAGATATATAAAACCTACATAAATTCAACTTTATTTTTTTTTCAATATATTACTTATTATTTTCAGAGAGGGGGAAGGGAAGGAGAAAGAGAGGGAGAGAAACACTGATGAGAGAGAGAAACACTGATTGGTTGCCTCTCGCACACCCATAACTGAGGATCTGGCCTGCAACCCAGGCATGTGCCCTGACTGGGAATCACACCGGTGACCTTTCGGTTTACAGGCTGGTGCCTAATCCACTGAGCCACACCAGCCAGGGCACAAACTCAACTTTAAAATGATTCTCTCATTTATTCGGACTATAATACAGGCAACAGTTAATTCAACACTCAGTTCCCTTATTCAACAGGGATCTGGGCATCTATTTTCTTTAAGGAGATTTACCTGCTCCCTCAAGGTACTCTCTGCTGTGGGGACCTGCTGCTACAAGGGAACCTCGACAGAGGATGAGTGGTCAGGAAGTGGGAATAACCCAGCTGGGAAGGAGGCACCGGGGCCTGGACTGCACGCAGTGTGGCTGGAAGAGTGATCAGGTCAGCAGGGCCAATCGGGAAACACCGGGTGAACGACTAAAGGAGAAGGTGACTGCACCTCTCTCTCTCTCTCTCTCTCTCTCTCTCTCTCTCACACACACACACACACACACACACACACTCTCTCTACAGACTCTTCACTCTTTCTCATTAATCACATTTCCTATTCTGTAACGACCATAAAAAGTAGCACTTGGGCTCCCTCTGAGTCCAACAGTGCTACATCAGTCAGGTGGAGCCTGATAAATAAGATGCAGTAAATAATTTTTTAAAAACATACCAATGGCATCAAAAGGGATGAAGTACATATTATGTACTAATATAGAAAGAGAACCAAGAGGCATAATGATAATCAGAAAATTAATAACCTCTAGTGTAAACTGAATGAAATGTAAAGTAATGTAATGTAAAGTAATGAAAACAGCAACTAAAAGAAAAAATGAGAATGATTCTTTCAAAGATTTGAGTACATTTCAAGAACCCCACAATTACCTGGGGGAGAGCTCAAAACAAATGCTTAAATGGGTAACTCCTCCATGGACAAAAGCAGTGGGTCCCACACCCCAGTACAGCGCCGCCCCTACCTCAGCCACAGAAAATGTAGGGTTGGGATGAAACTCTCGGGACACCAGTCATCGAGAATCATCAGAACTCCAGCTGACCAGGCTCTGTTTAATCACAGAAAGCTTCGTGATGCACATCACCTCGTGAGATCACAGTAAAACTATTTTTCTCGAAGTGCCTACCCAACCGGCCTGAAGGAGGCCATCCAAGACTCCCAAGGGGAAGATCCCTGAGCACTAACTGCTGCTTACAGCCCGCATCGTCCCTGACGGTCTCACCCAACCATGAACTCACCTACTGGCCACCTCGTCAAAACGCACGCTGATCAGATTTATAGCCCTTTGTGTAACCTAGTATGGATTCAGCCTCTTTTGAGAATGTTTGCAATACTTGGATGTGACCTTCCAGTTTGACTACTTTTGAGCCATTACAAGGCCATCAGCCAGTACGTCTAAGTACATTTTAATCCCAAACTCTAATTAGATGTATTTCATGAATTATTCAAATATAATCATTTCTCATGTTTTTTTAACAGAGTTTATTCTTGTATTCTTATTTATTATTGTTCTTTAAAAGATTTTATTTATTTATCTTTAGAGACAGGGGAAGGGAGGGAGAAAGTGAGGGAGAAAAACATCAATGTGTGGTTGCCTCTCACGTGGCCCCCACTGGGGACCTGGCCCCCACTGGGGACCTGGCCCGCAACCCAGGCATGTGCCCTGACTGGGAATTGAACCAGCGACTCTTTGGTTTGCAGCCCACACACAATCCACTGAGCCACACCAGCAAGGGCAGTTTTTTTCTTAATATTATTCACACTCATTAACATTTATTGAACATTTGCCATATACTGAGTCCTTGTTTCTCAAAGTGTGCTGCTCTCATTTAATTCCCACCTCAACTTCCTAAGGAACATTCTATTATTACCCCAATGGCAGAGATGAGGAAAAATGTTTGAAGAAGTACTTTGAAGGCAAAGGTTGTTGTCTATCTTTTTCTCCACTCTATTTCCAGCACTTCAAAGTCTATCTGGAGCCCTGGCTGGCGTAGCTCAGTGGATTGAGCATGGGCTTTGAACCAAAATGTCGCAGGTTTGATTCCCAGTCAGGGCACATGCCTGGGTTGCAGGCCATGACCCCCAGCAACCTCACATTGATGTTTCTCTCTCTCTCTCTGTCTCTATCTCCCTCCCTTCCCTCTCTAAAAATAAATAAAATCTTTAAAAAAAGAATAAATTTCTCATAATTAGAAAAAAAGTCTATCTGGCACGTAATGCACTCATTTCTTTGTTGAATGAATGATTGAACAAAGCAACTCATTTCCCAGGGCCAAGTAGCTGGTAAGGGGCAGACCTGGGGTTCTGACACAAGCCTGTCTGACTCCAGGGCCTAAGCTTTTAACTATTGTCTTAGTCCATTCAGGCTGCTATGCAAAATGCCACAGACTGGGTGGCTTAATAGAAATGTAATCCTAACAGTTCTGGAGGCTGCAAGCCCAAGACCTGGGCACCTGAATGATCAGGCTCTGACGAAACCCGCTTTCTGGTTCATAAATGGTGTCTTCTCACTGTGTCCTCTCTTGGGGGAAAGGGCTGGGCAGCTCTCTGGAGCTTCTTTCATAAGGGCATTGCCCTCACTCCTCAAGGCTCCATCCTCACGACCCAGTCACTTTCCCAAGTCCCTCCTAACACCAGCACATTGGGCATTAGGGTTTCTTTTCTTTTTTCTTATTTTTTAAAAGATTTTATTTATTTATTTTTAGAGAGGGAAGGGAGGGAGATAGAGAGAGAGAGAGAGAAACATCAATGTGTGGTTGCTGGGGGTTATGGCCTGCAACCCAGGCATGTACCCTGGCTGGGATCAAACCTGCGACACTTTAGTTCGCAGCCCGCGCTCAATCCACTGAGCTACGCCAGCCAGGGCTGGCATTAGGGTTTCAACATAGAAATTAGGGGAGGACACACACATCCAGCCCATAGAGACCACAATGCAAAAATCACAAACCTTTTTTAGAGGGCGACTTTTCATTTTGATATATAATTTCAAACTTGTAGAAAAGTTGCAAGAATAATACAAGCAACTCCCATAAACAATTTACCTAGATTCACTAATTGTTTACATTATGCCCCACTGCAAACCTTTTAAACTCAATGAATTAAGCCAATCAGCATATGCACAGAGATTTTTTCCTGTATAAACCAAGGTCTACCTAGCTTTATGCCAACTTCACGGCTATCCCTACCTTTCTACCCCTCCCCAGCCCCAGTCTCTATCCCCTAACCCTCAACATTCCCTGCTTTCCCTCCAGATGGCGGGCACCCCCAGCAGAGCCCCAGAGGCCCCGCCCCTTTCCTCAGCCTCTCCCCTAAGCCTGCGGCCATAGTGACAGAGAGGTGTGCACAGAGCAAACCACGGAATGTAAGCAGTGTTCCCGGGATCCATTTCATGAGTTCTGTACTACAAAGAGTGGTAACATAAACAAGTACATAGTGAAGATAAAACATTGTATTGAAGTAAAATCCTTGAAATACTAAAAATAAGCAAAATAGAAAAAAAGACACCAATTAAGCAAAAACACTTAAAATTAGATTCTATATCCAACCATACGAAATGATGTTTTATTGGTTGAGAGGCAGAAGGAGTAAAATGGCCAGGATTTACACCTGCTGCCACTTAGGAGCTATGTGTAAGCTATTGTTTCATTTCTCTGCCTCAGTTTCCTCGTCTGAAAAGTAAGGATAGTAACAGTACTTTAGCTCATAGAACTGGCGTAAGGGTTAAATGGACAAATCCTCTGAGCTTTGGTACCTCATAAACAGCAATTACTGTTATCGTATATCTGTTTTTGGTTTTGTTTTGTCTTGGCCAAATTTATACCTGTGTTACTAGTTTTCCATTTATAGTGATTATAAAATGTTGCCTTCTTGAATAAATTAACTTAGGTTAAGAAAAAAACAAAAAGCCCTGGCTGGTGTGGCTCAGTGGATTGAGCGAGCACCAGCCTGCAAACCGAAAGGTCGTGGGTTTAATTCAGTCAGGGCACATGCCTGGGTTGTGGGCCAGGTCCCTAGTTGGGGGTGTGCCGGAGGCAACCAATGGATGTTTCTTCCGCTCATCAGGGTTTTACTCCCTCTCCTTCTCCCTCCCTTCCCCTCTCTCTGAAAATAGATATAATAAAAATAAATAAATAAAACTTTAAAAACAACAGTTAAGTCCATAAAAAGAAAAACACAAAGGCTGTCCAGATAAGTGAGCCTCAACACAAGGTCAGTTCACCAGGGTGGGGCCACACCACTCAGAAATGAATGCTTCTTCCTATTCCCTAAAAACCTAGTTTTTCTTTGACATAAGGACCTATCACTTTTTAACTATTACCCAAGATTCCTCTGCACTCAAGCTTCTAGCAAGATGAAGTCATCTGACAGATGGACACTCCACTCGTGCACTTCCTTTGCTTATAACCTCCCTTCCCAGCCCAGGTTTCCAATCACCACCACCGCCAACAGCTGGGAAGCTGAGTGTTCTCAGCACCCACTGGCACTCCAGTGAGGGACACTCAAGGCAGGAGCCGACCGACCTTCAGGGCTTTGAAGATGACCCCTGGGTGCCGGGGAGAGCGGGTGGTGTTGTTCTCCAGTTGCTGCTCCAAAGCTCGCCGAAGCCCGGAGAAGTCTGTGGGCGGGTTGTACGTCCTGGTTCCCTTGTAGTGGATGGAACTGAAGGCCTCGGGGAAGCGGCCCAGCTTCCGGAACCGGTCCTGGATGAGCTTCTCCGGCACCTCCGAGGGGTGATCTGGACAAGCACAAACGGGTACATGAACAGTGACCTTTCTTTTAAAGAAAAAAAATCAGTTGCCTTTCATTGCAAAAGCCTGACTCCATATATATAAAATACGTAAGCAGGCGAACCAGTTGATGTTGTTGGAGTTCGGGCTGCCCTTGTCTGGGAGGGAGCCCAAGCAGGACTTCTATGAGGAGCGTGCTGATATGCCATGATCTCAAACTGATTTCATGGGTACATTCTGGTTGTGAAAATTCCTCATGTTACACACTTTTTAAATTTACTAATTTATTTTAGAAAGAGAGTTAGGGAGGGAGAAAAAGAGGAAGAGAAACATCGATGTGAGAGAGAAACATCGATTGGTTGCCTCGAGTATGCAGCCTGATCCGGGACTGAACCCAGCCATGTGCCCTGACTCGGAATTGAACCAGTGACCTTTCGTTTTGCAGGACAATGCCCAAACAACTGAGCCATGCTGGTCAGGGCACATTATACATTTCTGATATAATGTGCACTTTTCTCTGTGTACATTATACTTAAAGGAAGTCTTTTTATAAAAATCTCATAAAAATGTGAACATGTTAAAACATGAAGAAATACATGTCTTCTGCTCCTTCATACTCCCCTCAAGTGGCTACTATTAAAGTGGCTACTATTAAGTATTTACTCTCTCAGACTTTTTTTTCTGCACACTTACCAACAGATATATGTAACTTGTTTCTAGCACTTAAGAACATACTATATCTGCTCTGACTGGTATGGCTCAGTGGATTAGGCAAACCAAAGGGTCACCAGTTCGATACTTGATCAGGGTACATCCCTGGGTTACAGGCCAGGCCCTTGGCTGGGGGCATGGGAGAGGCAACCAATTGATGTTTCTCTCCTTCTCTTTCTCCCTCCCTTCCCCTCTCTCTAAAAATAGATTTTAAAATCTTTTTAAAATTTTAACGTAATGTATCTGTCCTTGTCATGATAAGCTAAGAAGTTCCTTATTCCTTTTCACAGCTACATACTCTTCCATCCTATGGATATATTTAGCCAGTCACCTACTGATGAACACTGAAAACAGCTACTTTGGAAATGCTGGTCTTACTTATGCTGGTGAAGCTGTGAACAAATTACCAATGTATGAGTACTGGGCTCCCCACAGCTGCACCAACAGTTATCTAGAAATCTGTGGAGGGGTAGTACAAATGGAGTCAATAAATATTTTAGAGGTAAAAGTTACCAGGACTTTTTATTTTTAATTTCCTTTCATTTTTAATCACAACTACCAGAGATATGGCTTTAGCTCAAATTTGAAAGTCAAGCCATCAAACAGAAGTAGCCAAACTTCAGCAGTTAATCCCCAAACCCTTCTCCTCATGAACTCTTCCTGCGGCAGGACCTTCTGAAGGAAGGTGCGGGCAGTACCCAGCGGTCTGGCACGGCCTGACCACCTGCGCTTCCCCAATCATCTCACAGCTGCTCCCTGGACGCATAACCACCGCTCACTTGTAAGGCAGAAAGAGTTCATTTGCTTACTGTCACCCAGAAATCCTCTACTCAGAACTGAAACAAACGTGATCAAACAAAATGAGAACGTCTGAGGCGGAGGAACATTGAGTAACTAATCCGCCTGCAGCTCTGGCACCTCTCTCTCCTCCGACCCTGCATGAACACTCTGGCTGCCTCAGGGCCATCTCAAGGCTTCAAGAAGCACCAATGGTATTCCAGGAACAGCTCTGGGTTTAAAAGTTAGAAAACTTTGTTCTGAATCCCAATTTTGCAACTCACTCACTGGAACCTCCTTATTACATAACTTAAGCTCTCTGGGTTCAGTTTCTTCATCTGTAATATGGGACTGTTATTGACACCTGGCTGAGTTACAAAAATACTGTAAGTTAGCATTTTACTTTAAAAGAAAGAAAACTACCTGTGATAGTGCATGGCAGAAAACAAAAAAAAAAAGTTATTTTTGAAGGGCTGGTTATCTCAAAATCTTCAACTGGAAAGTAAACCTTCCCCTCACCCAAGCTGTAAAGATCTAAAGTGGCATAAAAATGCTGATTCCAGGAGGCAGTCTCAAGTCAATATTTCCAGCCTCCTCCCCTTACCTTACAGTCACTTGCTACGAGTTTCTTCCTCTGTTCTGGAGCATTCAGATTTCTCGTCTTCCCACTAGACCCAGGTCCTTCCTATTCTAACTCCTTACTGTGGCCCCTATCTGGCCACTTCCCTCCTACTTCCCATCACTTCCTCCCTAGAGCTGTGAAACCCTCCTGGCTGGTTGCCCTGCCTCTCCTAGGCATGTCTCTCCAGTTCATCCAGCAACAGGCTGCTGGAGGCAGGGAGGGGGGTATCTTTTGAAAGCACAGATCTGATCATATAACTCCCTGCCTAAAATCCTATCATACCTGAGAACTGAGTAGAAGCCATCCATGATCTGATTCCCAAGTACATCTCCACCATCCCTTCCCATACAATCTATGCTTCTGACACACTGAGCCTCATTATTTATTCATTGAGCAAACATCTGATGAGAGCCCACTGTGTATCAACCACTCAGCCAGGCTTTTTAGATATAGCGGTAAGAAGGGCAAGGTTCCTGCCTTCATGGAGTTTCCATTCTCATGGGGAAAGGTCAAAAACAAGTAAGCAAACATACAGCATGATTTCAGGGAGTGATAGGTGCCCTGATGCAAATGAACCGGGGGACATAGTAAGAGCACAACCACTAGGATGTAGGAGGAACTTTGCAGGGGACAGTCAGGAGAGACTCCAAGGGGATGAGAGTTGAGTTGAATCTGAAAGAAGTATGTCTAGCTGGGAGAAAGGTGTCCCAGGCAGACGAGTGGCATATGCAAAGGTGTGAACAGAGAAAAGGCTGATATGGCTAGTGGAGGGAGTATAAACATGTCACATGTGTGCATCCACACACACACATAACGGGGAAGACATTTAGTGGGTGGGGAGAGGGGATGAAGAAGAACAACTAGAGGAGTTCAGATGGAACCTTGAGACAGAACCAAAGCAGCCAGAGTTTATGCAGGGTAGAAGGAGAGGTGCCAGAACTGTGGGCAGATTAATCATCCTGTTGGCAGGAGTCAGAGCGAGGACACCACAATCAGGAGCTGGAATTATATTCCGATGTAGTGGAAGGCCACTGACAGGCTGGGAGCTGGAGTATGACATGACCTAGACTATAAACTAAGCTTTTAAAAAGATCACTCTGAAAGCTGTGTGGAGAACGCAGTGAAGGGGGCTAGAATGGAAGTCAGAACTACCCGGAACTGCTCGCAGTTCCCTGGACACAACTTGCTCCTTTAAACTTCTAGAGATTTGCTCTTCTTAGAGCATCCCTTCTCCCCTCTGCTCTCTAGCCAAGTCTTAGAGTTCAAATGTCGCCTCTTCTTGCCTAGATCCCTTAGAAGGTGTCAAGTGTCCCTCTGCCACACTCCCACAGCCCCAGCACCTACATCTACTACAGAACAGAACACCTGGGGTCTCCCCAACTAGACTTCCCATCCGAAGGTGGGAACTGTGTTTCTTTTCAGCTCAGTGCCCCGGTGCTCAGCACGTGACAATGTGTACTTAGTAAACGTCACTGACTGAAGAGGTAAGCGGTATGACTGCTTTCGGGGCAAACGCTACTGTTGGCCCCGAAATACAATTGCATCCAATTACTGTTGTTGCACCTACTCCCTCATCCTCCCTCTCAAGTGATGATCTTGCCTCCCATTTCTCCAAGAAAACAGAAACAGTAAGACAATTTACGCACACATCCACACACACATTTTTCTACTTATTTGCAACTGGCTCCACATACTCTACCCTTTCTCCTGTTGTTACAGAGAGAACTGTCCGTGCGCCTAACTAAGGCCAATTCTTCCACGGTGCATCGCTCTGACATTCCAGCTCTCTCTGACATCTACTTGCCAGTGAGTCAATCTCATCAGTACGCAAATATCTGTAATGCCTCACAATGTAAAATTGTAAAAAGGGGAAATTCCTTGAATTCCCACATCAGCCTCTAGCTATCATTTCAGTTGTCTGTTTTCCTTTACAGAACTCTTTGAAAGAGTTCTGTATACTCGCTATCTTCATTCTTCACCTCCTATTCTCTTGATCCCACTCTGATTTTTGCTTTCATGCTCACTATCCCTGGGAAACAAGTCTTACGCAGATTGCCAAGGGCCTCCGTTCTGCCAAAGATATTCAACAATTCTTGATCCTCATCCTGACCATAAGCAGATTTTGACATGGTTGGTGCATTCTGTCTTTCTGGAAACACTTCCTTATGTCTTTCCCATGCAGAAATTTTTCTGGGCAATCCACCACCACCAAATTGCTATTACAGCCCAGTGGCTGCCTCCTTGTACCGAGAAAGGCCAGTCTGTGACACAGCACCACCCCATTTACTCACCAGAGCCCAGTAGTTGAGTATGCACAGTCTCATGGAAAATAATAACAGCAGGGCCCAGGGTGGACAAGGGGACATCCAGGCCACAGCGAGCAGTGGTAGCCTTGAGCTCCTTGGTGAAATGCTTCAGATAAGCTTCTGAGGCATCCCCAAGGAACTTGAAGAGGTCATTATGCAGCCGGTCTGCATGAGTTCGATAGATGACAAGGTCGGAGATGGCCAAGACCTTAAGAAGCAGCCTCGTTCTCTGGCTTAGATTCACCGTAGCCCCCAAGAGCCCTTCCGTGTCTATCACCGCTACTTTGTGGACTGGGTCATACGCCGCCCACACTCCCACAGTGCAGGATTCCTGGGCAGGGGAGGTTTTGAAGACTTCACGGCCATAAAAGAAAGTATGGTTGAGAGTATGAGACTTTCCATCACCAGTATTTCCAAAAATGGAAACCACCTTCAGATGCTGATCAGGTTTGCAGTCCAATTTCCTAATGAAGTCCTCTTCATTTGTTACCTTAGGAAAAAAAAAAGACAATGAAATAGAGAAAGGGCAAAATAGCTAAAAATGTGTGCAAAAACAAATGCTTCCCAGAGTCAAGGTGGCAAGGAAAACAAGCCCCAGTATAACCGCCTCCCAGCCAGCCCCTGCCCTTAGCAAACAGCTAACAGGAACTTTCAATGCCTCAGTCAGTATCAGCAGTTAGTGGTCATGAAAGAGCTAAAATCATAAAATTCTCAGAAGATGACACAGGAACAAATCTTTTTGACCTTGGATTAGGCAATAGTTTCTTAGATATGACAGCAAAAGCAATACAACAAAAGAAAAAACAGATAAAATGCACTTTATCAAAATTGATAAACTTCAAAAACTTTCATTCTGCAAAGGATATCATTAAGACAGCGAAAAGACAACCCAAAGAATGGGAGAAAATATTTGTAAATTATATATTTGATAAGGGACTGGTGTCCAGGATACCCTGGACTCAACAAGAACGCAACAAGAAAAAAATTAATATTTTAAAGAAATGATGTAATTAAATATTAAGCAAAAAAAATCTGAATAGACATTCCTCCAGAGAAGATACACAAATGGCCAATAAGCACATGAAAACATGCTCAACATCATTAGTCACTAGAACGTGCAAGTCAAAACCACAGTAAGATACCACTTCACACCCATAAGGACGGCTGTGATCAAAAAGATGATTAGAAGTCTTTGTGAGGGTGTGGAGAAACTTCACCGTTCATACACGGGTGGTGGGAATGTAAAATGACACAGACACTCTGGAAGACAGTGTGGGAACTTCTCAAAAAGTTAAACCGAGTTACATGTCTCCATAATCCCACTCCTAGGTATATACCCAAGAAAACTGGAAACATGTCAATACAAAACCTAAACGTGAATGTTCACAGCAGCATTATTCATAACAACCAAAAAGTGAAAACAACCCTTATATCTAACAACTGATGACTGGATAAACAAAATGTGACATATCCATACAATGGAATGTTATTCAACCATAAAAAGGAATAAAGTACTAATACATGCTACAACATGGGTAAACTTTGAAAACATCAGGCGAAGTTAAAGAAGCCAGACACAAAACACTACCATTCTATGAATCCGTTTCTCTGTGTCCACAACAGGGACTTCAGAGAGACAGAAAGGATATTAGCTGTTGCCAGAGGCCGAGGGAAAAAGGGACCGGGGAGTTATTCCTAATGGACCAGGGTTTCTCTGTGGGGTGATGAAAATGTTCTGGGATTTGATAGTGGTAAGGGTTGTCTAACTTTATGAGTATACTGAATTGTATACTTTAAAAGGGTGAAATATATGTTAATTACGTATCAATAAAGCTGTTATCTTTTAAAAACTTATTGGTTAAATTTCATCTATCCATAATTCCTGTTCACAGTTTAAAGATTTTATTTATTTTATTATTTATTTATTTTTAGGAGAGGGGGAAGGGAGGGAGAAAAGTAGAGAAACATCGATCAGTTGCCTTTCGTATGCCTCGACCAGGCACCAAACCCGCAACCCATGTATGTGCCATGACTGGGAATTGAACCAGGAGCTTTCACTTTGTAGCATGATGCTCAACCCACTGAGCCTGGGGCAACAGCAGTCTGGGCCCTGTTTACAGTTTAGAGAATACTGCATTCCTTAATAAAAGCAAGGGTTGGCCCTAGCTGGTGTGGATCAGTGGACTGAGTGCCAACCTACAAACCAAAGGGTCACTAGTCTGAATCCCAGTCAGGGCACATGCCTGAGTTGCAGGCCAGGTCTCCAGTAGGGGACATATGAGAAGCAATCACACATTGAGGTTTCTCTACCTCTCTTTCTCCTTCCTTTCCCTTCTCTCTAAAAATAAATAAAATAAAATAAAATAAAATAAAATAAAATAAAATAAAATAAAATAAAATAAAATAAATAAAATAAAATAAAACAAAACAAAATAAAACAGAATAAAACGAAAAGAAAGACTGGGAAGGAAGAGACCTGGTGCCAATGAAATACCAGATTGGAGCTCCAAAAAGATGCTCAGGGCCCCTACTCTCAGAACAAAGAACCCCAGGAACAAAGCTCCTAATCCAAACAGGTAATGTTTTACTCCAGCTAAAGGAGGGACGAACCTTTACAGCAAGCATACTCCAGCCATAAGAGAAAAAACACCTTCCTGACACTCAAGAGTTTGCTGGCTTGAAAAAGAGCAGTGAGAGAAATATTATCCGACCACTAGATGTGACAATATAAGCCCTCGCTTCCCCTAACCTCAAGATGGTAAACCACTCATTATTCTATTCATAACATTACTATTGTTACATATTAGAAGCCTTAATGTTAATGATCAAACAAGTAATTTTCTGAATGCCCACTGCAGTGACTGCCCTCCATCAGGGCAGGATGCTGTCTATTTTATCTTTACCTCTCTAGCCCTGGGAACAACATGGCACAGAGGGCGAGTTTAATATCCAGCTATTGAATGAATGATACCAGGCACCTTGCTTGGTATTTTAATCACTTTTCTCCACCCTCTATCTTCCATAGGGCTTAACACACAGCAGCATTCCATCAACTTGGTAACGGGCTCACTGTTTACCAGACAACTGAGAGGAACAAGAAGTTCCAGGGAAAGGCCCAGTTTTCACTGGTGTCACTCGGCCAGCCTGGTTCCAAGCTCCTGAACTGGCCAGCAAGAGAAACAAAGCAAAGGCTCCCTAAACCTCTACCCGCAAGAAGTCAGGTTAGGTCAGAGTGGCCCACCACACGAGCCACCCACCTTCTCAAACAGTCCCCTCAGTATCCCCAGGGGTTGTGGAAGAGTCGGTCTAGGGATTTTCTCCTCTGGAAATCTACTCTGTCATGACTCTGTTAGCCCACAAAACAACCACCGTTATCCAGTATATGTGAGAGCAGGCACCTGAAAGGGGGCACATGGGAGCCTTCAGGTACAGAGTTAAATGTCTCAGTATTCATTAAATGCTATACATAATATATATAATATAAACAAACTATTCATTTGAGATGAAAATAAAACACTTCCTATAAGCATCGACGATATTATTTTGGCACTTGGTTTCCTGAGTATTAAACATATATGTTCATGATCAGGCATATGCATCTGAGTCTGGTGCAAAGAATTATGGGAGGAGAAGCTCAAAGAAGCCCTAGGCTGGTTATTCTACGGCAGCCCTCGATAATCATTTAACCTACAGTGATTGCATTTTTTCACATGTAACGTGGGGATATAACCATCTTTGCCTCCTTGGACTGGGTAGTGGTTGCTAATCAAATAGGTAAATGAGAAAATGCCTTGCAAACTGAAAACATGCTTCACTTTCCCTTCTTGTACCTTTCACATTATTTTGCTCCCAGTTATACTACTCAATCATCCTTACATGAGCCGGAAGGAGAGAACGGCCTGGGCCCAGGCCTAGGTGGTAGCGAGAGCGGCTTTCCACCAGGGGAGGAAAAGGCAAAGATAGGAAGATTCCCTTGGAGGAGGAAAGGAAGGAGCCAGAAGGGAATAGGCTCCTGCTCGACTCGCTCTTCCTGTTTGTGACCCCTGATCCCACGCTGCTCCCTTCCTGGAGCGAAGTAAGCTGCCTGCCTGAGCCCTGACAAACGGCCACCAACGCCACCTGCTTGAATGGTCCTCAGCCCCTTGGCAACAGCAAAAGCAGGAGAGACCCCAAAGCCACCCCTTCCATCCTCCCAGAGCTTGCAAGACCACCTCTTGGACCTCAGACAAGTCAGAAACACCCACATTCCAGTCCTGGCTTGGCCACTATGTGGCCTTGGAAGGTTCCTTAACTATTAAAGCCTCAGGGAAAGGAGATAACAACAGATTCCACAACCCCTGGGGATACTGAGGGGAGGAAAGGAGACTCAGCACAGAATGTGCATTGCACAATCCCTGGCACACAATAAGCACTCAATACATACTACTCATTATTATTTAAAGACCAGCCACTGGGAAAATATCCAGGTGCGCTGCAGTAGCAGCTGGGCCTGGACCTGCCGGGTGCTCAGAAGTTGCTCATTCAGGAATAACTAAGTCAGCAATGGTGAGATCTGAACTGATTCTATCTGAAAATGAAAGATCTTGCTGCTTGCTTCTGATAACTTCTTTCCTCTCCATCTATTCAAAATTACATAATAATACTAGCCTTACAGCTGACTCTTATAGTAAAGTAACCATCTAATATCATACAAATCTTTAAGAAATCAAGCAGTATACCTCCCTATCTCTCACCCATAAAGCTTTTCACTTGGTATAGTTGTAAGCAGAGTTTCTAAAGTGAAAAGTAACAGCACCCCACGATCTTCACTGTTCCAGTTTCGAATTCAGAGCGGTTTATGGCGGCGAAGTGTCCAGCAGTCAACCTCTGACCTAGTCAGGCAACAGAATGATGACAATCTCCCTCAAGAAATTCCTTCCTGGCCCTCAGAGAAACACCCAGAAAGAAGGATCACACGGCCTTTGTTCTGAGGAGGCCGGCCTTTGTTCTGAGGAGGCCGGGGAAGGGAAAAGCAGGGGATGGGGAAGGAGCTGAAGTGCCCTCGAAGGAGGGAAGGTCAACAGAACAGAACAGAGACTCCAGAAATCAAACAGCAAAGACAACAGAAAACAATCCCAAGGAAAGTAGCTCAGCACGGAAGCTGTTCCAGTTCTGGCCTCTCTGGACGAGGAGGATCTCATCCGTACCAACTACGATCACATAGTCCTTCAGGTTTTTTGTAAAGATGATCCCTGTGGCCAAGGGCAAAAATCAGCTGCTAACCCAAAGCAATGGAGAGAGCTAAGGGATACTTGGTGGCTGTCACTCACGACCTAATGCTCATAATGAATCCCACCCAGAACCAGCAAAGGTCATTTTATCCCTCTCTACTGAGATTCTAAAACTAGTCTGAGGCCATAGGTATTGTCAAAGTTAAGTTCCTCTTAGTTTCTGTGGTGGTCTCTGGTTTATTCTGCTTTCATTCCACTTTTGGCTGAGTTCAGTGGAAAA